CGTTTTGAGAAAGTTAGAGCAGATTTTCTCTAAACTTCGAGTTTTTCGGGTTTTCGACTCGACCTTAGTATTTTGCTTTTTTCTCCCCCAAAACTGGATCAAAATCAATTCAAAAGGTGATATTCGTGATCACCGTGAAATTTTGCATCGAATGATATAGTTTTAAGTGAAAAATAAGAACTTGCAATTCTTTTGAATTAGCGGCGCCTTACAAAGACCAAGAAAAAACTGTAGAAATTAGAAAAACAAAAAACTTGTCGAATAAATAAGTACATTGCACTAAAAAGAAATGTTGAGTTTAATGAAGCGAAATGTTAATGTTTATACAAAACAAATCAATCCGAAAAACAAGATATTTTTCTATATGATGTTTTTTTTTTTAATTTTATTAACCACTCATACGAAAACGAAAAGCGAAAAAACAAAAAACATTTCATGAGAATAACAAAATATGAGAAGTTGGAATGGTGTGAGAATCATTAGTTTCTTTTTAGTATATATGGATGTGTGTTGGACGGTAAAAAACACAAAAAAAATGTCATACAAATAGACATATAGTCATAAATAAAAACAAAAAAAAAGAGTATCGCCAGATACTTCATTTCAATGCATTGCAATACAAAAAGTTTGTCAGATAAAAGAATGATTGAAGTCATACTAAAAAACATGAACTTATCTTATTAAATGTACACGTCTAAAGGACCCGTGAAAAAAGAATGGAATAAAACAATGTTCACAATAAACTCAAAAAGAAAGACGGACATTTACATAGGTAAAATTAAAAATGATTATTGATTATGTCGACTAAAAAACCAACAAATTGTTTTTGCATTTGATGAGAGGACTAGAAAATTAATAAAGCAACAAAAACAACGATAAACTTACAAATAAGCATTATGAAAGATAAATAAAAAAAAAAGAATATATAAATATAAAACATATTCTATGTACAAAAATAAGATGAGGTCATGTTAGGTGGTATAGTAGAAGATGAGAACACACACGAACCGGTACTTACACCGGCATCATTTTTGTTCTTCTACTCTTTTTCTCAACATTTTTGTCATGCAATGTATGTCTAGAAGGAAGAAAATGATATAGAAAAGTAAAAATTAAATGACTATTTTGAGATTTTAGAGTCTTTCATCTTCAAAATCATTTTCTTTCAGGCGTCCATTTTTAGCATCACCAATAACACCCCATAAATCGAATATAAATTCATCTGTAAAACTAAATGCACCAATTTCTGATTCATCAATGGCCAATGCAAAATCACTTGGATTCTTTTTATGTTGACCTAAATCCCAAATTTGTTGAGCTAAAATGAAACAAGAAACTATTTGTCCACTTTGTAGACGATAGTCCTTCATTTTTAATTTTTCAGTTTAAACCTATACAATACTGCAGATAATCTCAGACAAAGCTGAAACATATAGCACTATCATTTGTTGACATCATAAACTATATCGTTTTCATCATCGATTATAGCAGTATAAAATCGAAAAGAGATAGAACTGTCCTTAAGTTCATACAAATTTTGATCGAAGGCTTTTTTTCTCTCATTAATGATCAACTTTCAGGGGTATACAATAGACTTATGCGATGTTAACGGGTGTGCCATAATAAACTGGACTAAATATTACTGCATTTGTTTCGTACTTCCTCTTCAAATAAAAAGTTCCTTTATGTACCAAAAGATAGAGAATTTCAAGCTCTACAAAATCTACTATCCGAATCTCTGAGAGCATTTTTCTCGTTTGAGCATCATTCAAACTATTGAAGAGTGCTGAGTTGTCGAACTGCGACGTACTTTTGTCGTCTCATTTTTTTAGAGTTTTAGCACATTGTCTGAGGTTCAATAATTAATTTTTCTAGGTAGAAAGATAGAAAATTTTGTGTTCTATCGATCTCACTCATTTACAATCTTATACAATGTTTCCACTACGTCAGTTGATCTCATAATTAGTTCTCAACCGGTTTTTCAATTTTTTCAAATTAAATTAATTTTTTTAATTAATGATTTCAATTGAGAAACTTTATTTATATATCAAAAGATGCAGAATTTAATTCTATGTAAGATAATAAGACTAAAACCCTGAATTCAGAACGTTTTACTGCTTTTATAGTCCAAAAACTAAATTCTGTGAAAAATAGGTTCAAAAGTTAGGTTTTTTCTTGTTTTCTATACCCGTTTTCTATACCTGTGACGCATAAAACTACCTTGCTATATCTATCTGTATCTGTTCTGCAAAACATAATCTAAAACTTACGTTATGCGAAAAAAAAGATATTGAAACAGCAATGAAAGCAGTACTTGAAAAGAAACGAGAAATTGAACTAGCGAATCTCGATGTTAATGCTATAATTCTTATGTTTAAGCATTTATAATGGAAACGTACTTCAAATCTTTGTATCTGTAACTGCATCGAAGAATGTTCGATTTTTTTTATAGAAAGTCTAGTAAACCCAATGAAACTTACCCAATTCTGAATCATTAATGCCCATAAAACTTTCTAAAATTCCATTAATACGTTCAATTGCTTTATTCATTACATCGTCTACTTCTTCGACTGTTGCTTTTCCATCTGCTTTGAATCTTAATGTTTTATTACCACTTTTAACATCACCCGTTTTACGTCCACGTTTTGCCGGCTCAATATCTAAATAAACGAAACAACATAGACATGTTTGATCTCTCGAGCGAAATAAATATTATACATACGAAATCCAAACGCATTTGGTTCAATTAAACGCATTGTAAATGTTACACCCACAGGTATTTCCTTTAACATTTTTGCTACTTCAAAATGTCTAGAACCAACTAAACTTTTTTCATTAATCTTCTCAATATGATCACCAATTTTGACTAAATTTTTTAAACGATCCATTATACTTCCTTCTTTAACACGTTTTACAAAAGCATAACCTTAAAAGACAAGAAAAAATAATACAGAGTTAAAATTACGCTTCAAAATGCATCTAACTTTCAAAAAATGTTAGCGGTATAACTCGTAATACTATGACGATATTATTTAATTGTATTTCTTTTATTGAAAAAATATTCACGCTGATTTTGACTAACTGACTGCTTGATTGATAGATAAAATTAAAAAAAAAAGTGAATACCAACCAGCTCCATTGTCTGTAATTGTTAATCCAAGTGCTGATTCTGATTTGACAATATCAATTTCCTTTGCTTGCCCTTTGACATGTGCAAATATAAAGTCATCTAGACCAATTTGACCACCAAGTAATTTACCCATGTCAATTTTATGCGTATTCAATGTGCAAAATAAAATCTAAATAAAGAAAATGTAACAATACAAGCATATTATTTAATTATTTTCTTTTTCTTCTACTCACTGTAGTCACTGGAATTTCAAAACATTCTGCAATTTTCTGATACAATTCTTTAACATTTGTAAAACCAGATATAAGTCCTGTTGGTGAACCATGTGCTAATTGACAATGAAATACAAGTTTTGGTTTTTCATTATCACCTGGGAACGGCGATGATTGATAATGAGATGATGATGATGAACGATTACTCATGACTGCATTCTGTGTAGTGGACGGAATACTGTTTGAATTTGTCGATGATTTTGTTGAAGAAGCAGAAGATGATGCATTCGAACTGGGAGTAGATTCATCATTTTTACCGTGAGATTTACGTATTCTAGGTAGTAATTTACTACTCGGCATTTCTAAAAAAATAGAGAAAAATACTACCACATATTGACATGTTTTGATTTAAGTAACAAATTCTTATATGACCAGTATAATATTCTTTGCATAGTTTAAAAAAACGGTAAGCATTCAGATACGTACTTTATCGTTGATCTCTTGATTGAATTCGACTTTTAAAGTTGTAATACTCAATACGTCGACGTAAAACGTTAATAATCGATACAGATAACAGAAACGAAAATTCTTAATATTATCTAAATCAAAAAAACATCAAATAATTTCTGAGAGCTGAGAAAAAAATAAAATCTTAAAGATAATCTTTACAAAAGTTATTCTATACTGGGGTATAGAAACGTATCGTTCGTTCACTATAATACTTGAGGAGTACATAGTTTCAGAAAAACTTTAATATGGAACAACTGATTTTCTAATTTTGATGTTTATATATTAGTAAAAAAAAAGGAATATTTAATTCATTCTTTATATTCCTTATGGCAAGAATATTTTATTTTATAGAAAAAAATTTCTGTATGGTATGGTGAATTAATCAATTCGATATTGAGCTCTCGCTTTTGTTTTGCCCTAAGGGTTCATAGGTGGAATATCAGATTCAACAGTTGAGGAATATTTCTATACTCAGCAATAATGATGAATAGATGAATAAATGAAAGATAGTGACGTAAAAAACATGAGAAAAAAACAATAACTAGATTTGTTTGATATGAATGTGAGTTATTGACTTTGACACTAACTTTCTCATCCACTTCTATTATTCAGATTAAACTCTGTTGTGAAAACAAGTTGTCCTATACGGTAAAGTTATCAATAAACGTAATCATAACCTAATTATACCAAAAAATCAGCATTTCTATAGTATGTCCAATTTTTTACATTTATGACTATTTAAAAACTACTCCGAAGTTTACACCGGCTACGAACGTCAAATACACAATATGTTATTTTTACTGTTAACAGTAGAGAATTATTAATGATGTACTCTTTAAGAGACGAAAGGTCAAATAGGGATGTCTCACTTGCATCGAGAGAAAGTCAACAATCCTGGTTCTTGCACACATTTATTTCACACGAATAGTTAATTCATTTTTGTTTTTTTCGTGTTGTTTGATTCCGAAAGAAAGAAAGAACAAAATGGATATCAAATTTGCTTTCGTTTGATCTAATGATTATTAAAGCGCAGTTTCGGATTTCTTTTCTACTAGTAGCCAGGATGGCCAAATCTCTCTACATGGATAGTAAAATTCTGCATAAAGAATTTCTCTGTGCTCTACACTTGCGACTTTCTTGTATTTTACCTTAGAAAAATCATATTTTAGTCTTTTTGTACTAAGACTCTAATTTTGAAAATTTATTGTTAGCCTAGAAACAAGACAGATTGGCTACCGGCAGCTCAGGGGCGCCTCCAGCTACCGCAAGCGGTAATCAGGTCCTGCAGATATTTCGAAAAACATCCCCGACAGGCTGTCGATAAAGACAATACCCAGATGAATTGCACTGACAACACGATGATGCGTTGTTGATTAACCTTTAGCTTATAATCTATCGTTCATATTCTGAAGGAGGCGCCGATCAGTAAGATAGAGAGAAGTTGTAGCTGCCATGCAAAGTCAACTTCAACATTTGCAAAAACTTAGCTATTAACAGAACAAAAGGAATGTGTAGGGTTATTGAGAATGGCTACCAAAAACTTTTAAAATCCTAATTAATCTTAACTTCCGCTTGAAGTCAGAAGAATAAGACTTACATACGGCTGAGTTTGAAGTAGTTTTAAGGTTAAAAATGGTGGAAAAGTGAGAAGGGCGAGATATCTGCATTTTGATCAAAATTCAACAATATTTGGACGAGAATAATATAAAAGTATCGGCAAAATTAGAACATGAAAGCAGCGCCGACAGAATTTTTCAGCAGTCGAAGACGCGCAATAAAAACAATTGAAAAAAAGAAGTTGCAGTGAAAGCACATTCGACACGATTACTTTAAGTTATTCATATTTATAGATGATGTCATTAATATCCAAATAAAATAATTAGCATCACTTGTATCGAAATTCTTTGTAGAAACTATGTTTTTGCACATGGATAATTATTGCACAAAGAGTGGTAGTCAACTTGTGGCTGTAGAGTATCAATATGTATAAATATACATTTAAACTGCAATGAGTATCACTCATTAGTTTTGAATAAAAAAGAGTAGTTAAAAACTATTTCTAATAGTAAAAAATCCAATTGTATAAATAAAAAATTCAGATGAATTAACAAAAATTTTTTCGTTGTTAATTGACTTCCTTTAACATTTAATTGTGTTTTGTGCATCTAACCGATATGTACACGAGATAAAATGGAAAACGCAACATCTAGTCCCGTACTCATCTTGTAACGAAGAAAACAGGGTTTTATGCATGTCCGACATTAAGAATAAAAAAGTCCCAATTCCACATTTTATTTTTTCCTGTTAGTTATTCTCTTACTAGCGCACTTTTTCTCTAGCTTCTACTAAGCCACCGTTAAGTATAAGACCCGTCCAGACTGTAGAATTAAATCCAAATAAATATGGCAACTCGATATTCTTTTAGAGAATAAAGTTATTCCAACTTATTTCGGTTTACCTATTCTAGTTTGAACGTCTTAACTCGATTTATCTAGCTAAGTTAAATTGAGCTGAGATGTGGGTGGACGAATGCAGTTTTAGTAGTCACATACTTTGATTTAAAGCTAAAACGAAAAGAACACATGAGTGCATCCATCTTTTATGATGTTGTCAAAATTCTTCTCTATTGGTTCGAATAATGTCCTATTCACTCAAAACATAAAAGTAAGAATACGGACGGAGGCATCACCTTAGGAAAACAAATTTAATTTATGACTTAATGGACTCATCAATCAAAGGATATAGATATTTATTATCTTCAACTATTCGGTCAACTTCTCTCTATGAGAACTCAGTTTCCCTTTGTTCGAAGATGATAATCTCATTAAACAAGGCGAGAACGTTACGTTTCTCCAGTCTGCAGAAGAAAATGTGTTTGTTTTCTCAAAAATGTGGTATAGTCGATTGTATGTAATACTCACGTAAAATGTATACAGGTATCAAGATTCGAGCAAAAAGTCTGTAGAAGTTGTGGAAGATTTGTGCCGTATTATGTGTCAATATACACAACTTTTACTCGATATTTTTTTTGTAGGTCGACGTCAGGATCTTTCAATAGTGTTAAGTTAAATTATTTTTAAAGCATAATTCATACCTTTTATTACAAAAGATGTTCAGTTCTTCTTGTATCTTTGAGTTTGGACTGTTATAGTTTATTGCACAATTGTATCTGATGAGTTTTATCTGCTGTTTTAATGTATCGCTACTATACCGTTGTTCGCTCAAATTTTAGCGGAGACTTACCTCATTTATAATTGCAGAATATATTGGATAGTGTTTAGTAAAGAAAGGCTTCTAGTTAAAGAAGGCATTATACTTGATCAGAACACTTATTCTTTATATCAGATGCATTAAAATTGAAAGAGAGGTTGTATGATTAAAATATATTTTAATTTTGGAATAAAAATGCGTAATTATGAGTATAATGCACTTGTAAGGTAAAATAAATAATTAATGGAAACAATTGAAAAGACTATGTTAAATAAACAGTTATCTTACCTTACGAATGAGTGTGATGAATTCTTTACTGAATAATAATTGTAATTATGTAACTAATTCTTTGCAGATGATTTTATCAGTGCCTTATTCATTCAGTGTATTAAAAAATATTTCGTGAATAATCATTATGGTAAGTTTAATAGCTATTACAGTAATATTTTTGAAATGTATACACGACACAATTTGATTTGTGATAACAAATTCGTCATGTATTCTTGAACTAGGTGTTGATTTATCTTTTAGCCGCAAAAAAAGGTAAAATCTGCAAAGAGTGCACGCGCAGCAAGCTCAAGTCCAAAACGACAAGGATCAAAGAAACGTTCAAAAAGTGCTGTTGAATCACGAAACACTCAAGTTGATATTTTATCGCCTGCTGCCATCATTAACGCCTATTATATTTGTCATAATGTTGCCGATTGTCTTGATGCAAGAGGTTTTCCATGGGAAGGAGCGAAAAAAACAAAAAAGAAGAAAAAAAAAAAGAAATCATAATCAACCATTTGTCACGTATTAAGATGTCAGACATTTTTTTTGCTATGATTCCTACTGTTGCCTTATTTTTTTGTATTTTTATGTACAGACGTATCCTATTCGTTAAATCTTTTTCACATTGTTGTTCGCATATCTATCTATTTCTGTTCATTGTTATATTCTTTCCCATATTAAACGGAGAATGATAATTTGCGTTAATTTCAGTAATTTTTATTAACGTCTTTAAGCTATGTAAAGGAAAAAATTATGTGCTCTGGTCAAGATGAAAGACTCTTTTTTTTATTAGAAATAAATATACTTTTTAATGATAGTAGAATTCTGAGGGGAGAATCTATTATTATAATCCCATCTGTGTTGTTGTAATTTCAGTGTTCATCTTTTTCATCTCGAGCCGTCATATTTGATCACGCTATCTTTTTCCTGTTTAGTTTGAATTATTCAGATCTTAACGAATTTTATGAAAGGACAAACAAAACTAAATTTACACACATGATGACATACATAATTCATGAAAAAACAAAAGTAAAAAGACAAACTTTCTCTAAATTATTCGAATCAATATTCGACTTTTGGAAGAAGTAAAAAAACAAGTAAAAAATAAATGTAATTCATCGAGAAGTGTAAAAAAAGCAAATACAACTATACTGTGCACTGTTTTATAGAAATGCGTTTGCCGTGGAAGAAAAATCTACATACAATATGGAAAGTCAATAGGAAGTATTGCTATCATTTCGTTTTGTTTTTTCTTGTTACAAAAATGTCTAAGGAAGAACAGGTGTATTGAAAGAAAAACGGTTCTTAAATTTTTGTTTTTTGATTCGTCAATAATTCGGTCAATTATTTTCTTGCATTTAAATCAGAGGTAGAAAAATCTAAGCTAGATATAATTAAAAGCAGGAAAGAGAAGCGCTGTTGCTACATATGAAAAGTGGTGATCACTTCATAAGTCATAATTGTAAAAGAATAAAAAACTAATTTCGTCATGGAAGCAGGACGAGGTTGGAGCACAGGATGTAGTTCCAAAAATCGAAGTAAATTCATTCGATTTTTTCACAAAATTGGAGTAAATTTCCACCAAATTTCCTGCAAGCAGAGGGTGTACACTCCTCGACACACATCCGTCGCTCCGCCACTGAGTGGGACTTGTAGATTGTATAGAAGCACAAAAGATAGATTAGCGTGAAATTCTAAGGTGAACTCAAATCTAAATTAGGATATGCCACTTTTTCAACTTGATCTATGGCTTAAAATTTATACCAGATAAATTCCAAGCTATTATTTAAATCAACTAATTGATTCTTTAATTATATCATTGATTGTCTCATCATCATTCGCATTGGTATTATTCAGAGGTGATAATAAATAAGAATAAATGGCGTAATAATGAATTGACGCACCAAAAAATACAAAACAATGCCATATGGCATGAGCAAACGGGATAAGACCATCAGCTTTGAAAAATATAATTCCCAATAAAAATACAAGTCCACCGTACGCTAATTCTAGAATACCCCCACGATCCTCCTACACAGAAAACGAAAAACTATTAATTTTATCTCCATTTTTCGTCTAAGGAACCAAATACTTACAATATCCATGATGACAACAGCTGGAAGCACACCGACTGACACATAAAAACATGTTTCTAACCATTTATACCTAAAATAAAACGCGAAAATACTGTGGTTTATGAAATATCTAGAGAACAGGTTGACGAAATCCAATTATCGAGCTTCAAACTCCATTGTAGTCTCACCAATGTGAAAAACGCATTTGTCATTGATTCGGCTTTCTACGGACTGGAAAAGAATATTCAAATTTGAATAAGACGGAAAAAATTATATTTTATGACACTTTCTTTACGAGGAAAGTGTGTTTTGATCACCAAACCAATTAAAGAAAATATATACAAGAAGAATATATACCAATTTAATACTAAATTAATTAGTGAACAAACAACAAAAAGAATATTCGAAAGCAAGAATGGAAAGTATTACATACATCTAGATCGTCCCATGAATCGAAAGAATACGCAAAATTACAGTTTAATGTTTGCCAATATAGTCGATTAGATTTAAAAAACTATACAAAATATTCGTTCAAACGCAGTGAGTATAGAAAGTATCCATTTTGTCATAGTATGTTTAGGTCACATTCGCAGCGAAGTTAAAAATAAATTATAAAGCTTATATTATTAATAATTATTTAGCTTATTAGCTTATATTATTATATAATTAATAAATTTATAAAGCCGCTTCGCAGAGTAGTGGAAAACATAATGTACGAATCTATAATATAGATGTATAAATTGTTCTTCTTATTGTGAAAATTCCTTGGAACTGTGTGTGGGATGGTTAGCTGTGAGTATTTATGCAACAAGTGTTTGTGAAGTATGCAAAACAACAAGAAAGCTGAGCATTGGTACGACCTATGTATACTATGGCAAAACGGTATATATTCGATTGAAATAAAATTGGTATATATTTTCTTTAATTTAAATTTTCTTTAATTGGTTTGATGATCAGAAGTGTAAGTTTTTGGTGATCATTTCGTTAGTAAGAAATTTAGTGATAAAAAAAATACATACCCTTCTTTACGAATCTTCTTTTTGAAGATAAAGAAAGGAATTAAGATGGATTGGAATAATATAAATATGTCAAGCTTTAAGAATGCTTTCGTATGCCACATTAAACATGGTTTTGAAGCGTTTGTCGGAGGCGACAATTTTAGAGTCACTCTGGGTTGCTACTGCTCACAAAAACAGTTTTGTATGCCGCGTCAATAGAAATTGATTTTTCTTTTTTACAGAATTATGTCAAGTTACTTTAATAGCAATACCTTTACGCTTACGACGTGACTCCTGTGCTTTTTTTGTACGTTTGCAGCCGAACGTTGCGGGTCGTTATGTGAAACGTGAAACGACGACTATCCTTCAATATTCCTTTAGTAAGAAAGCCAAGGTTTCTGAGGTCGCTGAAAAAGATTGAAGGAAGGATAAAAGTAAATGGTGGCTAATCTAAGCGATTTCGATAGACGAGGAGGGGGAAAATTCCCTTTCATAGACTATGATTATTCCCTCATCATCAAAAGTTGGTAAGGAAAAAATGTCTTCAATTATATTTTTCGAAAATTCACCGTTGCTCACTCAAACTTTCTCCTTCTTCCAAACTTTGTATCGAAAGCTATGACTACTAGAAGGATGATGTTAAGCACGATTACAGAAAGTAGATTCATGAGAAGGCACTCGCAAGCATTCATCTCAGCTATAAGTGAAGCAACGGGCTCCTTAAGCCTAATATGAGAAATACCTCTCGTGATAAACCATTTGATAAAGTATTCCTAGTACAGCCATCGACCATACGATAGAAATGGTACATGTTGCAGTCACACTTTTCGTTGTACGAATTAAAAGCCTAAAAAATAAAGTACTCTTGTATACATACATCATAACCAATAAAATAGCAAACTGTCTTACCACGGTGTATAAGAGGAAGCAATAAATATGTATATAATCGCTCGATCGGCATAGTGAAGCATATGCCGCACTGACGTATCTCTATAATATAAACAAGGAAATTTCACAATTGTGAGATATGTGAGAATGTCGTATCTTACCGTAATCCCGGATAAAAACATGAACAATGAAAAACAGTCGAAAATGAAAATAACATTATCAATGCGCTACCATAAATAATACTACTCCAATATTGTACAGATGTCACAGAATTTGATATGAGAACTTGTGCAGCGATACATGCAGGAATAACAAGAAACCCATGTGTTAGACAATTGGCTACATGTTCATGTACAGTTGGCACATATGGTTTGTTAACAGCTCGTTCATTCATAAAACGACTCCTATAACGGAGCGTATGTTGTTGCTCATTTGACTGTTTCAAATGAAGATTGTGATGGGTCATACTAAATCAATTTCGTCCTCAAGCCTAATCATTTGTGGTGACTTTCTATAAATATTTAATCGAGAACAACATATGCAATACGAGAGAAGAGTGTTATACATGAGAAGCTGAATATGGGAAACTCACAGCATTTTACTAAATCGACATAAGGGTACGATACTATTCACATGTTTTTCCATTTTTGAAAAGGTAAACGTCTGTATGCAGAATTTCCAAAGAATAATAATGTTTTGCTACCAAATCCTCTGGAGAAATGTTTTTGATAGCATTTTTTGTTATGGTAGATTTTTCCAATATGGAAACTTTACAGTTCACCTGGACCAGCTAACTCTGCTACCGGAGTGAAACTCCGTCCCGGCTTTTTTGCATTTTATTTGTCTTATAATTTTTGAAGAGCGAGATACCCCGACATCTGAAACGTCTCAGATTAAGGAGAAAAGTGTGCTAAAGATTTTGAGACACCTCCGTAATCTACACGTTCTTTCATTTGAAAACCATGTCAAAAACACAAACCACTACTTTGTCGGATAACTTTTAAGACGTTGGTGTTTTGGTCATAGTTTTTGAACGAACGAACGTGGAAACTACGGAGACGTCTCCAAATCTTTAGTACACTTTTCTCTTTAATCCGAGACGTTTCAGATCTCTGGGCATCGCTCTAAGAAATAAAATGCGAAGAAACTGTTACGGAATTTCATTCCTATAGCAGAGTTAGTTGGCCAAACCGAGTTAGAACCTGCGATTCAATCAATATTTAGTTCACAATCAGATTTACAGTTAGAAACAGTGGAAATCAGGGGTCTCGAATTATTTTTTTGCAGGACAGAAAGTTCCGAATGGGAGACAAAATGAGGCATGCTTATTTTAACGAAATAACGTCATGTCAATCTGAAATATCTGATGAGCTCAACTAAAGTCACATATTGCAAATAAATTAAAATCAATATTGTGAATTTTACTACTTTATTATTAAGAATTACATTGTCGTTTCTTCTTATAGTTCTAATTTCTACTTCATCCTTTCAAAGCTAATTTTTCAAATTTCAAACAATAGATTTTTCCTTTCAATTAGTTTTATCGAGAAATTCATATCACACATTTGATAAACCCTGAGAGGCGCACGACAGGAAGAGTGATGTTTTGAGCGACGACTCGAATCTCAGAATAACTCTATTTGCTGCAAACTATCCAAACACCTATACGATAATGATCTTTATGACAAGATATGCTAAAGAGGGCATAAATCTTTGTATATTATGTAATAATCCGCTAATCTTTTCCTCTCAAATATGACGCAGAAGTAGTATGACTTCAAAAAAATTGCCAGTGGGGGACAAAATGGTCGAATGGGGGACATTTGAGAATCCTGGTGGAAATTTTAAATTCGTCACGGAGGTTACAGTTTTTCATGGCGGAATAATAGCAAGTTCAGTTGTCCACCATACTATTAAAAACACTGCTGTGGAGTTATTGCACTATGCACTTTAAACAGTTTTCAAGGAGTGTGCTCGATCATTTAGATAAGTAAATAACACAGAAATCCATCTAATCTATTAAGCAAATAGACTGCAGAGTTTTATTTGATCAGTATAAGTAGAGTAGAATGATCATTCAAAGCAAATGTTTATCGCATAACATAAAAAGGATCGCTAACAATAATAATCCAAATCGTATGACAATAACAAAAAGTTTGATTCCAGAGTAAATATACCAAAACCAACTACTTTGAACTGGCATACTCATAAGAAAACAGAAAACTACACTACACTGGATGAAACATCAGACCAATGGGCAAATACCAAAAAACCTCGATGTTAAGTACGTATATCAGTTCTGCTGTGAAGATAGCGCTACGTACATCGAAAAATTTCACACTATCATTGATGGTTGTATGCAATACGAGTTCACCCATGAGACAAAGATGGGCGGGTCATTATTTTTTCGAGTCTGAGTCTTTTTTAAGAAACGCACTTAAGTCAAAACTTAGGTTTGACTGCGCGACTTAAATTTTGTCTTAAATTGTAAACTTAAGTTTTTTTAAGAAACTCGCCCCAGGTCCGACTCCGCGTCGCATCAAAAGTTATCACCTCCAGTCCTTTTCTAGAGGAAAACTTTCTTCTGATTCATTTTTCCAAGAACAGCTTGCAGCTCATTTCTACTGTTTTAGGCATTCTTATACTCATTCTGCTGAACATTTGCTACATGTTATCTTGTCCCTTCTTTCATAACCTGGATCTAAAGTTGGGCAACATATAATTCAATTCACATATAAAACGCTTTTTTCCTTAACAAGTTTAAAAACACTCAATAATAAATGTTTATTACATTTCAAATATGTTAATAAACTTAAATTTTTCGATGTAAGCTGCCGACGATGAGGATGGCTTTGGAAAAATATGCTCTCTATCGGCGCAGAGGCAGGCAGAAACTTTTTAACAAGTTTGAATAAAACAGGATATTTATTTTGTTTTTGAAAAAGATTTAAATCAATACCTTCTTCTGCTAAAGTATAATAAACATCGTCATAATAATCCAGAGTTACACATGACCGACTCGACAGGGACTCGAGTCAGTTTATCAAGTTTATCGAGTCTTTCGCAACGAGTACCCTACTCTGTCGTGAGACTGCTTCAATTTAAGTGATTTATAAAAATTTCTATCAATGAAGGAAGAGAACGAGTAGGGAACACAGATATTGTTTTTAAAGTTCGCACTGTTTCTATAATTTGTTCATTCATATAAAATAAAACAACAATCAAATCTGATCACAAAAAAATAATTTAAATAAAAAAACGGACAAGTAACAACAAATCACAAACAAAAAAATAAGGTCTATAAAAGTAAATCTAAGGGTTGATCAATATTATCAATTGCCGGTTCGCCACATATTGCACATTCTTTAGCCACTAAATCATCTAACTCTTGTTGCAGTTCCGATATTTCCTCCTGTTTTGTGAGTCCTGATGCTAATTTTGACTGATAAAGCTGAATTTTATCTATTCGTGCCTTATCCAGTTGTTTTAAACGCTTTATATACGCAATTAGACAATCAGCATGAAAATAATGTTGACATGAAAATATATAAAACTGTGTTTGTAACATTAATAACTGTTCACACAGTGAACATTTATAATCGGAATCAATGGTGGCTACACATCGTGTACGATATCGAGTCAAATCCTCACGTATATTATCAATGGATTTTGATGCTTGATCCATTTCTTGACGTAATTCTTCTAAACGATCATTATATTTTTCCAATGATTTTATTATCGGTTTTTGAAAATGATCAATTGTTTGAAAATCAGGAAATAAAGGAAGAATATCTTCGACTTTGAGTAATTCGCAATCACGTAATATTTCCATTGCTTGATCTAAGTCACTGCCTTCTTGAGTAATAACATGACGAGCTAAATAAAAATCAATTGGAGATTCTTATTGTTCACAACAAAAATAACGTTTATTACCTATTTTAAGCCATAACTTTTTACATCGTTCACCTTCGATATTTTCCACACATTCTTTTGCTAATCGAACATTGACCTATAAATCAAATAATAACAAATAGCTTGAGAAAATAAAAATCAACTGGAAATCAATTATATGTTGTCAGTGTAGTAGAACAAAAAAATATTTTTACATCTAAAACCTTACACTTAGCATGCAGTTCATCCCTGTTATATAGAGAACGTCTTAGTGCTTTTATTTCAATAGTATAAGAAACAGAAATATGCAGTGATGAAATGAAATATCTGCAGAGACACCACAAACAATAAGAACGATGTCCAAATTATCGATGTTTCGAATCACGTGGACATTAGGTGAAAAAAATGAAAGCGCAATTTTTCGAGATTCAAATAGTGTCGAATATACTTTGAATCCCGGCTATTTAATAGTAAAAATTTTTTTATTCTATGTGCTGTAGTTAGTGAGAAAACACTTGAAAATTTCGTGTTGAAACTTAGTTCCTTAGAAAAGCGGTTCGATGGTACCCACAGGAACAAATATTATGTTAAAAATCGTCCATAATCTCAAACTAGACCTGTCACTGTATGGATTCATAAAAAAAGTTTTTTTTTAATCATTTCTATTAGGAAAAAAAATTTTCTTTCTGCGCTTAGTGCTTTCCCAAACAGATAGTTTCAGTAAAATGAGCCTCCCGTCCACATCCCAACTCGAAACTCGTTCAGACTTTCAAAGAATGTTCTTCTACATGTCCAACTATGATGAATGCATAAACATGCATAAATGCTCCCGGACCGTACAGCAAGTTTTCCAAAAAAACCTTCGCTTTCTACATGTTTTCCATTTTTGTTGGTTCCGAAACATTTTATTTTAACGAAAACGATATATTTGGAATCAGTGCATCGAACTGCACCGAATGATATGTCAGTTGTATATTTTTATGTGCGAAAAATAATTCGATTTAATGGAATGACAGATTTACAGCATTCCCGTAGTAATTTTGGCTAAGCACTAGGATTTTGCATTTAGAAGCAGTTTGAAAGCCTAAGAAAACTACTTTCCTAGGTTTTCGTATGCGCTCTTTCCAATGGTGTGATTTACAAAGTTCAAAAACACTTTTAGTCGACTTTTCCAGAGATAGGATCTCTAGAAAACCTTGATAAAAACATCTTTGAACTTGTAAATCACACCACTGGAAAGAGTGCATGCGAAAACTTAGGAAAATAGCGTTCAGAGGCTTTCGTATCACTTTTATGGAACATGTCTACGTGCCTAGTCAAAATTGCCCACTGTGCCACCTGGCTGATGAACTGTATGTTAAGTTAAAATTTTAGATGTATAAATAGTTTTTATACTATAAAAAAAAAACAATGTACAGTTAACAGATAACTTTCTCAACAGAGTATATCTTATTACTTGTAGAGCCATATCAACAGCTTCTTCGTGCAGATTTAAGATTTTATACAAAAAAACAGATTCTTCTTTCAAATCATTGTCAATACATAATCGTAACGCATAACGTGGATCATAAAGGATCATCTCGATATCCTTTTTGAAGAAAAACAAAATGAGATATTTCAATGTAAGATTTTATACTGTAGTGAAAAATCTAATACTCTTACTTCTTTTTGATTTCTTAAATATGGCATTATTTTACTTCGATCAAATTTAACATATTCCGATAATAAATAGTTATGAATTGATTTATCATCACAACCCACATGGAGACAATGAGTTAAAAAGTCTAATATCAATTTACCCTAAAACCAAATATATTTATATCAAAACTTATGCTTTCATTCTCTAGAATAAAACGTCATCTATTGGGAAAAATTTTGTAGAATTCCTAGAGTCAAAGAAGACATCTGATTTTATGTTATAAAAAAATTCATCTTCATGTTTAACATACTTTTGGAAATGCTCTTGAATAAGCAATCATTGCTGGTAATAATTTATTTGGTAATAGATTTTTATATTTGGTTTTCCATGCTTGAATAACATCGTCAGGTAATTTTTCAACTAATATCGGTGAATATTTATAGTATAATACTGCATCATCCTAAAAATAAACAATTATTATTTTTCGTTTTTTTTTTATCATACAACCACTCTTATATACCAATGGTTTCAGCGTATTTAATGCTTTATCATACTCTTCACGTTCTAAATACAAAAGTATAACTCGTTCATAATCTTTAACATGTTCAGCAAATAAAATTAAATCATCTAAATCTCCATGTGATGTTAATAAATCGTAGACAGCTGAACGATGATCAATTAGACATTGCTCAATTTTTTGTTGATGTAAAAAATATTGAAATGATTTTCTTAAACTTTCAAATGAATCTGATGTGGCAGATGGTGATATTGAGTTTTTATTGAAACGTGCGAAATACTCATCGACGGTTTCAGTAGGATCATTCAAATTTATCTTTGATGGTCGTAATTCGTCTAATTCATTAAGAAATAAATCAATTAACCATAACGTTAAAATTGTTATTTGAGTACTATCCTAGTAAGCAAGAAAAAAAAACAAAAAACGTCATTTTTTTTTAGTAACAACAAACAAAAGGTCGGATACCATCTACCGTTAAAGGCTTTTGATTATTTAGAACTGCTAATAAATATGTTCGTAATGGTTCTTTATTTTTCAATGTAAGAAATTTCAATGTAACATCTTCAAATGAGGTGTCAGATGCAGCATAAACCGTTGCACTTGGTACCATTCTAGAAATAGAAATTTGATTTATCATTTTAAATTCATAATTATTTTTCTTATTCGTACTTATTTTCATTATACAAATGATCGGCGTGTTTTGATTCAATTGAACGTTGACGTCTTGCTGTTTCAATTGGATCATCGGCCTGACAAAAAAAAAAATATATACGTGAGAGACAGAATTAAACTTTGTTATTGTTTTTTTTTGCTATTTACCACGACACAATGTTCAAATGCTTTTTGAAAATCATTTTTTTTCATAAATACCCGCCATACATCACGTCTTTCATCCTTTATTGTATAACGTAAAACATTTTGATCTGTACATGCCCATAATTGATCTTTTATATGATCTCTACAATAACAAACGGGTGCACCACTCTAAAATCAAAATATTTAATATGATAATGGTATGTAATTATTTTGATTTCTACCTACAGCCATTGATCCATCAACCATGACAATTTGTCCATTTACTGTACATATTGCTCGTATTTGATTTTCTGTTGGAAACATCATTAGACAATGAAATTCAGTAAGTGCCACAGATGATGGTGGCCTCTCTTTATCTTGAACAAGTAAACGTTGATCAAATTGATAATTAATAATATGACTTTTTTCTAAAAATGATTTTTGAACATTTGTTGGATCAATTTCAGTATACAATAATCCTGCTCCAGTGATCCATGCAAATTGTCGATATAATAATTGTGATGATGTTGATCGTTTTGTTCTATAAAATAATTGAATTTCTGTATGAACATTACCAACTGGATATACACGATATTTTAAATCGGATAATGTATAGTCTTTATATAAATTAAAAAATGGTAAAAAATAATCTTGTTTACGTGTAGGATCAATTTGATTTTCATAATAATATAATGCACTAAAATAAAGAATATTATATATTCTTAATGAATAGTTTTATTTATACTCGATTACATACATTTGTGTTGTTATAACAATAAATATATTTGTATTATCATCGTATGATGATTTCACATCACAATAAATGCCTGTCACACAATCTTTTTTCTCGTCCATTATTGGTACCAATGATCGATAAACTTCTGTAATATATAATTCTTGTTCTCGTAAAAATGCTATTTCATAGATTGTACCATCAGTACCAGCTGCTAATGCTACAATTTTATTATCTATTTCCTCTGAACGTAAAAAACGATTACACCATGTTAATGAAGCTAAGATAAAATTTTTATTTTGTCCAAATTTAATAGGCTTTTTAATTAATTTCAATGAACTTTGTGATGATATAGCTAGAAAGATTTCTTTCGTTTTTTTAGTGGATACGACTAAATATCGACCATACGGATCAAGAAACATATTTTGAATTGAATCTAATAAATGAATTTCTGAAATAATAATAAAATATTATCATACAGTTCTTGGTAATTGATATTCAATAGTTCATTCATAACGGCACGTACATCGAACATATCAAAAGTTCCGAGATTTTCAGATAAAATTCATAGAAAAGAGTGAATCAAGTTTTTACTTCAGCAAATATTCAAACTAGCAGCCATGATTATCCCTGTACATAGTTACATTTGGTCAAACATTTTCTGAAATCATCTTTAGTTCATTAATTCGTACTCTTAGTTTCAATGCAAGAATTCGAAGCTGATTTGATCGATTAAAATTGTTTTAATAAGATCGTCCACAGGCACATGGCGAATGTAGTAATAGGAGACGAGTTCTAGATTCGTTATAAGCAAATGGACTGAAAGTTATTAAACACGAGAAGGACATCAAGCGGAGGCTCTCTGTCAACTGTGATTCGATGCAAGAAGTTGGCTCCCAAAATGCTGTTTTCTATCTTATTTAAGACAACTGATTCAGTTCTTATACAAAAGAGATAAATGTAGAAAGAGGGTAGACTGACAATCACCATTACGATATCAATAATTGCTTACAGTTACTTATCAACCAAATGAGAGAGCAAGACCATCACTTAATAGTCAGGGTATCTAACTCAAATCACGACAACATCCGATCACATACTCATAAAGATGTTTTCAACTATTTTGAATCATACCATAATTATGATATGACCACCTTGTTCTACAGACTCAGTTTAGATCATCTATCTTATCAAAGAAATTTAATCGATCAAATCCGCTCCGAATCACTGTGTTGGATGCCGAAACCAAGAATATGAACTAAAGATGATTTCAAAAAAACTTGACTAAATATAACTGTGTACAGGGGTAATTATGATTTACTAGTTCAAATATTTGCTGAATTAAAAACTTGATTTACTCTTTTCTATAAATTTTTATCTGGAAATATCGGAACTTTTGGTATGTTCTAAGTATAACTATACCTTGAAATGGATAAGAATCGTTTGACTGTTCATCTAAACACCGACGTTGAAGTGTTTTATCATTCAAATGTAAAATGAAAACATTGTTCGAAACAACCATGTGTCGAATTTCGGTGTTTGGATTAAAACTAAAATGAAAAACGATGAATATTTTTAATAAACAACGGAAACAAAATAAAATGTTATTTTTTTACATCCAAGGAAGTTTGCTTTTGAAAAATATTGGTTCATTGTCAGCAACAGATGATAAATTCTAAATATTAGAAAAAATAATAATTTTTCGTCAAATAACAGATTAAACACATTTATATCAAAACCTACCGCGTCGTCAGAACGAAATGTTTGCTGTGCTTGATATTCAAACTGTGCAACAAGATCATCCATGATGAATGATCTAATTTTTGTTATATGATCTGCAAGAAACAATGAAAACAATTTTAAAAATAGTAGTTTGATAGGGTCATTGGTATTCTTCAACGTTTGTTCTGTATCGCTCACATTCTCAGACTTAGTTTATCTTAATATTTATCATTTTAAATTTTCTGTCATCGCATTTATACAAAGAACTAAATATAATTAGTGATTTTTTATCGAAATGTCAAAATCAATATTTTTATATAAATTTTATTTTCGTCAATATTGTTCTATTTTTTTCAACCAATCACGGATGTTTCGTTTCATAGAACATTGATCAAAAATATCGATTAGCATGTTACATTCTTCATTCTATTCAGTAGAATATGAATGATATCGATCAATTGTACTGGACAATATAAAGATATTCTAAATTTGAATACATCGAATATATTGTTCACATTTTCTCTAGTTCTTTCTAAACTACTTGACAATCATTCCATAATCGAAACACATTATTATTAATAAAAAAACTTGACATGTTTTTTTTTCTAATGAGTAACAAATTTCATGACATTACATTGACGGTTTATATTATAAGAAGTCAACATTTGAATAAATTCTTGCTAAACAATTTGTACCATTCATTTTTATAGACAATATCGTTTGAAATCCTTCAGTAATGGTATATATAGCATTTTTTGGATTTGCAATAGTATACTGACGTATACGTTTCCTATCACTACAGTAATCAAACCAAAATATTATTAACTATTATTTCATGCCTTTGTTCTTCATTATACAATGATAATGAAAGTAATTGATCAAAACATATTTGGTAACATAACATTAGAATTATAGGGAAATTTTGAAATTTTGCATGAACCAAGAGAGAGAGAGTGAGACGAACCATACAAATAGATTGTGTTTAGTCTTCTATTTAAATTATGCAAATATATTTTGGGTTAAGTAGTAAAAAAATTGATTGAAACGTTAGTAAATATGAAACTACATGCAACATTTTATTCAGTGGTCTAAAATACAAAAGAAAAAAATGATGTAGAACATAAATCGAATAGGTAAACAGCAGTCATCAAGTATCATTCTTCAAAACTGAACATTTTCAAGATACAACACGTCGATGTTGCCTATTTAGACTAATTATGTTCCTTAATCAATAGCTACATAATCAGTTAATTGAAGTGTTTATTTTTATATACAGTCTTTACTTTGAATATCTAATTATTTTATTTAAACATTCCACAATATATGAGTGAATACAAAAAACAAAATTCTTTGATTTTTGATGTTAGGTAAACAAATGAACAGAGAGTTAGAGAATACTAGTTCATCTACAAATATAGTAGATGAAAACTATGGTCGATTTGAGTTGATTTGTTTATTAACTTTTGTCTTGTTTGATAATATACTTCGACGACTTAAATCTCCAGCAAGTGATGAAAATCGATGTGAAGCAAATATTAAAAACGCTAAAAAGAAAGAAAAAACAATATTAGCAATCAAATGTTGAATATTTTTGTATGAAAAAAATTGTACACTTTATATTCGTTCCATTAATACGTTTATTCTCTTGAGAAAATTTTCACAACATAAGAAGAAAATGAAGAAAAAAAGAACAACAAAAACAAGTGACATCTATTTATTTTTGAAAAGAAAAGAAAACAGACGTTCGCTTTTCATGTGAACAAAAAAAAAGAAAAATGTAATAAATAAAATCTCATTTACATATTGCCTAAAGTAAAAGTTAAAGTTGGAATTAGCTTTCAGATTACATAATGTAATTCTTACTCATTCAATGAAGGAAAAAGCGGACTATCGTAAGTACTCAATTATTATAGGTAAAAAAAATGCCTGAATTCTGTTGTTTTTTTAATCAAATACTTTAGAGTATAATGAGAAAATTGCAATGTTCGCCAATGAAAGCTTAGATTTTTTGAAGTATCTTTTAGTTTGAAAAACATTTTTCAAAATTTTCTCAGTCTTGGCTTTCGATTGGCGAAGACTGCAATTTTCTCACTATACTCTAAAGTCTGTGATTAAAAAAATAACAGAGTTCATTCTTTTTTTCACCATTAGTTAAACAGGACATAACTATTGAATCATCTTTTCGTAAACTACAGACAAATGTTACAGTTTTAAGACACACATGACAAGAAAAAAGGATCTTAATGGATTTTGGACTGTTTTTAAATTCAAATTTCCTTTAGTCTCCGAGAGACATAACTTTATTCAGTCAAGTTTATGGAAAAAATAGAATTCTTAAGAATTTTTAATTACAAACAACTTTATTCTTATAATCACAATGTTATAATATCTGAAGTTCTCGATTAATTAATTTATCATTCGTCTCCTAGTCCAATATCCATATGATTATGTTCTTCATCATGTAGAAGATGATAGAGTCCTGCAGCAGCTATATCTTCATCATCTCTACCCATCATTCCTAGAATAGACGATGCTGACGTTGTTATTTGTTGTTGTTGTTGAGATATTTGTGGTTGTGATAATTGTGTTTGTAATTTATTTCGTGTATTTGTTTTTGTTTCATAAATCATTAACATTTGTTTTATTTCTTCTCTAGTTGATGATTTTTGCTGTTGTTTTTGAAGCTGTGAACTCTTCACAGTTGATCTTGAAACGACTGATGTTATTTCGTTTGGATCATTATAAACAGTCGATCGAAGAAACCAATGTGGTAATGGTTTTGGTTCATAAGCAGTTTTTTTTGATTTTGTACGCCTCGTCGTTTCAGTGGTAGTAATAGATGTGCCCTAAAAGAAAAATGTTTCGATTGATTCGATGAAATGCATACACACTAGCTTAAGAAAACGAAGAAAAAATTTTTTTATCATATTTTCAAAATGTTAACAGATATCATTATTATCAAATATATAACTTTCGTTCACAGGGTAATCTTATTTTGAATTTTACTTACCGTTGCCGACGATTTGCCTAGTGTATTTTTTCTCTGTTTTGTATTTGTTCTTTGTTGTGTATCATCAATATCATTCGTATTTTCATCATCGTCCTCATTTTCATCTTCAATTATAATTTGAATATCATGATTCATAGCTGATTTACTATCGTATACCGATGATGCTAATGATCGATGACCTAATCCAACGTTGCCATTTCCCGCTCCTCCATCTTCTTGATGTTTTTGTTGTTGTTCTTCTTTTCGTTGTTCTATAATATTATCAATTAACCTCAGCAAATCAAATAGAGGTTTCATTTGTTCATTAAATAAGATCATATTTGCTATTTGTACAGTGGGCGTTGTTGTCTGACCATCTTCAACAACAGTCCCAGAACAATGATAACAAATTAATTGTTCATGAGAAGCATCAAATAATTTAATAATATCTAATTGAAGAGAGAGATAAAAATAACAATAACAATACTAATATTGTTTGTTGAGAAAACGTTGATAAACATGAATAATATTTGTACGAACAATTAAATTAAATTTATTATTTTAGTTAATAATATAGAAGCTTTCAACTCAGACTAGAGTTATCATCAGCCACATAACTTGATAAGAGGAACGACGTATATATATGTTACACAGAAAATGAGATGATCATCGCCTGATCATATGAACACATCACTGGACGAACTGGAAGAGAATTACAATAGATATCTATTGCAGTGTTTAAACGGAAAACAAGGTGATATTGAAGAATTATTAGAATTTATGAATGGATTTACATACAAAAAAAACATACAAAAAATGGAGTTCACTTACGAAATTGAAATGAAATATGAAACAATCGTATATGAAAAACTAACCCATACAGGATCATATATGCATTAGTTCAGTTGTCAGTCAAGGAAATATAAAATTGGCTTAATTTGAACGTTGAACTATCCGAATTTGTTCAACTAAACAACTGTTAATTGAACAATGTCTAACAAGAAACGGTTATCCTATGAATTTTAGTGAGAAATATTCAGAACACACTCGAGCAATACGAATAACAGCGAACACAATATATAACACTCATGGTAACAACTCAAGAAAAAAGAAAAAGTTTTTCTTGTCTCTTACGTATCATGGTATAAAACGAAGATATTAGCTGAAAAGTTGAAAAAAATCTTAGAAAAGCTATATCTGACAACAGAAGTTACATTTGGGTTGAAAAAAGGATTAACAATACTAAAATCATTTACGAAAAATTACAAAGATGTTGATAACATGAATACTGGTGCGATTTACAGAACTAATTGTATCAAATGCTCGACTAGTTTGAACTAAATAAATTTTTGTTTTTCTGAACTAAAACAAAATTTATTTGATGGAGTTTAAAATATCGAAATCATTTTCTTCCTTTAACCGCAGTAAACTCGCGTGACTCATAGAGAAATTGTGATATCGAATTTGTCTTTTCTATGGTTAAGCGTCAGGACGACGATTAGTAATTGAATGGGTGACCGCCACTGACGATCGAACCATCAAATTATTTTGTTAACGCCTGATATATTCTCAACTGTGTTGAAAGAAAAGTTACAGAAAAGCAGTCGAGGACTGCGCGCGTAGTAAGGACTAGTTTAAGTGCCCAAGGCTTGAACTTTCCTGTAACGAAAAAGCGGTTGTAAAACAAAATTTATAAAGTTGAGAGCGATGTAAAAGATGGAACAACATCAGGTTAGACTGAAAGAAGAGAGTAAATCTGCAGGAGTTGATCACATGCTTAAAGTTATGTGGCTGATGATGACTCTAGTCTGAGCTGAAAGCTTCTATATTATTAACTAAAATAATGAATTTAGTTCTTTGTACAAATATTATATCTGTATAAAAAGACAAATCTAACGTATGCTCATAATAGAAAATCTTAAGTGTAAAGTAGCTCAAGCGGTATGTTTTCCATCAGAAAAAATTCACCATAGCTAAGTTTGAACTTTGAAAGAGCAAGTTTAGAATAATATAACATTAAATATCTATCGCTCTTACAACACTTTGATACTCAGAAATCATCATTTATTTCTGTTTATGTACCTAGTTCAGTGTATGTATGTGCACATTGTTGACATTTATAATATTGTTGTTGATACGTTTGTTGCCGTTCTTGATCTTCAATAAAACTTCTTATTTTTAACAGACGATATTTAATAACATTAACAAACATTATTTCATCTAGTGAATAATAGTTATGTGCTTGATTTTTACCATCTTTTTGACTTTGTTCCAAACGATGACGTTCTTTAATAAATTTATCACGTTTTAATTCTTGTATAATTGGTCGTAACAATTTAAGATCGTAATGAAGTTTCGCAGCGAGATCCGCTTCTTTTATTTCAGTGTAATAATAGATATATTCAACAACAAGATATTTTGGTAATTCATAAAATGTACGCATACAATGACGAATTAACCTTCCTAGTACTGAACTAAAATCCGCTGGATTTAATGGAGGTAATTGTGTTCGACGAAGTGGTACAGGAACGGTATGTGGAAGAGGTGACTGTGCACCGGATGTGGGAATAACAGTTATTGTCGAAGTTGATGGAATAGTAACTGGTCTAGTTTGTGGATTTAATGATAGTTTAACTTTGATTGTGTTATTAGTAAATGAACCACCGGAAGTGCCTGCTGTTGTCGCTGTAGCTGACATATCGTTTAGACTGTTAAACACCATGACAATATATTATCTAAGAAACAAAAAGAATGCAGCCATTTTTGCTGTTGATTTGATTTTCTTTCAACTTAGATCAGATCTTACATTTAATTAGACCAGTTTCTGAGAAAAAATTAACTACTAACAAATTCTCTGTGAGTCTCAAGTATTAATCATCTGACTCAAAAATGATCTTATGCTTTGTTCTTATACGATTTTAATCAAAAAATATATGTCATGTGGATTCAAACAATCTTTCTACTAATAGTTTCTAACATCTCAGCCATAGATAGAATACAGCAACAAAATGTAATGATCCATATGAGAAAGACACTGTCCTACAATCATTCGTGTTATCATGTGTCAAAAAATCTTAATACGTGCTTCAAACGTTTTGATCACAATTGAGAGTATAAATTCTTTATACAACGCCAGACGTTTTATTTTTAATTATCAAGATGGCAAATATGGCATACAATACAGTAGACCGTATATTTTTTATCGATAGAGGGATAACATTCGTCAACATAGTTGAAAAACTAACCACAATCAACAACAATAAGGGTACAATTGATATTGGTTCCATAACAATAGCGAATACTCTTACCAGTCTCACTGGAAGTATTTCGATTCAAATAAGACCCACAAATCAAATGAATCCATTTATTAATAAATGAAAGAGAAAACCGTATTTAACCTGCAGCAATCGATTATTATATAACATTTCTCGACAAAATTTTTAAAGAAACTTAGATCTTTCATCGATATGTATACTGCTCTCGGATATGGGAAATGTATACTAACTCTCCAGTCTTTTCTCTATTACCAAGGGTAAAACTGTTAATTTTCAAGGGTGATCTAATATTAACCATATAGTGATTTTTTTGCAGCGCTTTTTAGTTTGAACATAATTTTATTTGGCTATTTCTACCTTTTTATACGATTATTTTCAACAACAACCGAGTAAGAATCGGGAAGAAAGATATATATCAACTACTATGACTCATCTGTAATGTGATAAGATGAAAAAATACCATTCAGAAATGACATCATAATCTTTTTGTTTCAAAACATGTGTATTTTTCTTTGCATTCTCACTCAGCTGAGATAAGGCAAACATTTGTGACAACAGTACCGCAGTATGACTAAGAGAAAAATTGGTTTGAAGTATTTAAGTATATAAGTTTTGGGCTTTTCTTTTTATCCCAAACCATGTAATATTGGCCAAAAATCAAATCAACAACCAAATACTGCTACCTACATCGAGTTTAAACTCTTATCTATGCACTAGTAATGAATATTTCTTAAATATGTTGAATTCGCAAGGAAAAAACTTTTCCCCTTGTTTTTGGAGAAATAACAAGTTTTTAGACAAATATAATCGAACAATTTAGTTTTTCTTACTGAATCCAATTGCTGCACAACCAAAACGATGTGTCGGTGTTGCTGCTTTTTTTGCACGATAAAACATGTAGACACCTATTGCTGTAGCAGATGTAATACCTATAGCATGACACGAAAAACACGTCGACGGTTCAAGTGAAGTACCAGATGGAGGATCAACTGACATCTACAGAAAATAAAAGAAAATTATTAAACTTTGCTAAATGATCATTTATACAGAAATCCAGTCTAGATGCTCGAAAGAAAAGCTAAACTGACGAAGAAACCGCTCCAAGTGTTTCCGAGCTTTTTCGTCAAAATACACACGGGCATAGGTTATCGCTGATGCTGATTTCAAATATCATAGTCGGAGCGGCGTACGGGGTCTTGGAAACCCGTTTTTCTAGAAAACCAGTTTTTCGGAAACTCTAAAAAATAACCAAAACTTTTCTTAATGAGGCATAATTGTAGCTCGCAAATTTCTGATTAAAATGAGACATCTGCCAGCTCTACACGATCTTTCTTTGCAAAGTTATAGAATTTAGAAGAAAAGCCTAAATGTTCATTGTCAGCTCAAAGCTACAGAAATAAGAAATTAATTTAGGGCTCTTCTTGTAAATTCCATAACTTTGCAAAGAAAGATCGTGTAGAGCTGGGAGATGTCTCGTTTTTCAGAAATTTGCGCGCTACAATTATGCCTCATTAAGAAAGGTTCTGGTTATATTTTAGAGTTTCTGAAAAACGAGTTTCCGGGGGCCCGTATGCTGCTCCGACTATGATACTGGAAATCCGCATCAGCGATAACCTATGCCTAGGTGTATTTTGACGAAAAAGCTCGGGAACACTTGGGGCAGTTTCCTCGTCAGTAGTAGAGGACACGTAGACAATCATAAACTGCATAGCTCACGTCTAATCTTCCTCTTACAATGAAATTTTTCTAGTAATCGCAATTACCATCGAAATCACTGAAAATAATTATATAACTGTGATGATGAGATAGAAAAAAAAGAGTAGAAGGGTAAACGTAGTATCATTTCTTTAAATCCTATATAAGTAAATTGCTTTAAATCCTAATAATTGTAATCTCGACTAACTAAAATAGCAAAATCTCATAAAAAATAAATATATATAGAAGTCTGTCTTTTGTTATTGTTATTTTACTTTGAAAATGAATTACATAAACAAAGACGATCATGAAAGAAAAAAAGACCACACAACACGGTTGGTTCAATTCGGAAAAGTAAAAGATGAGGACAAAAAAACCGAGAAATAAATGTAGAATAATATTACACAAGGATTAATAGATGTAAGCACAAACAACAACTACGGTAAAAAAAAATATTTATATGATGAAACTGTTAATGAGAAAGCAAAATCGAAATTACGACCAAAAGTCATAGTTGTTATTGTACAACAAACAAGATCTTCAATGTATGCAGGCCAAGAAAAAAACGTTTAAGAAAAAAAAACACGCTGAACACGTGTCAAAAATGAACAAGAAAAAAAGTCAGAAATGATGTATATTCTCTTTAGAAAAAACAACAACAAACAATCAAATGAACAGAAAATATGTTTGCAATTTGTGTATTATTAATTTAGGTAGTAAGTGTTCTCATAGAGAGCAACAAAGAAATAATGTATATTACAGATGCTCGATCAACTGTACCAAAAAAACAGGTAAGTTTCGAGATCGCACTACTGAAAACAACAAAATGGCGGGCAAAATTAACATACTTCTAAGTAGTTGATCTCATTCAGAAGATGATAATTCATAGGATTTATAGCTGCTATATATTAAAATTAGAAAAGATAGATAGAACGTAAGGAGAATTTAAAACATTTTATCTTTTGGTTAAGATAACTAACGATCACATGGTTAAAAGGGTTAAGAGTGAAAAGAACAGTATTTTTAAGACAACTATTCTATTTCAATAAACTGTTAAACTACTTGTATTTAAAAGAGTTTCAAAAGTGGTTATTTGTTATTTTGTAATGTTGGTGGTCTGTACAAATGTATATTATGTATATTGTCCGCTTCTCTAGGCCAACGTTGAATTGTAATAACAAAAGGTTCAATCGGATGCCAAATTGTGGCTAATGTTGATCGTCTTTGTGAACCATTGGTATTTGAATTTGCTGATGTATGAGAATTATTAGTAATTGCCGGTGTTATGATCGTCGTTGTTATATTATCATGAGCGGTAGTTTGTATTGAACGATGAGTCAATGTTAATTGAAATTTCATTCGTTGACAACCACGACAAAAAAATCGAATTGGATTATTTGGACATGCTTTAATCATATCATCTAATGATATTACTTTATCATCATAAGAATACAATGATAAATCCAAATAAGCTAAAAGTACCAACAAACAGATAATATATAGAACATATCGATCATACATTCAAGATATGATAATATTTTTTTATTCTTATATTCAATTTGTTCTTTCTTACTTTTTTTTCTGTTTTCTCTTTTACTTTTTCTCTAGTCACATTTACACTATGTACATATACTGTTAACTTTTTAATTTACGTCATTTTTCTATGTTCATATTATATTGTAGTAGTTATATACTCAATTTTCTCTACTATAAAGTTAACAAGAGTAATGGAAAATAAATTTATTCTTACGTGATGTTGTATGCGTGAGTGTTCGTAATGGTAGTTGTACTAATAGTTTTTTAACATTTTCTCCCCCATCTGAACTAGTCGGTGACATATTTATCTTATACTGTTGTTGAAATTGTTGTCTTCCACTATATGTTGATAATGGATAATATTCTAATTTTTGGGTGCTTAACGATGCTGAACTACGAAATTCATCATTATATATTTCAAATATTTTTGCTAATTCCTGTGATGAATCATCATAAACATTCAGTATAGACGATTGACGAATATTATAGACGACAAATAATGAATAATATGTACCATTTTCTTGTTGACGTTTATTAACAATTTCTTCATGAGCAAATTTGAGAAGCAAAATATCTTTAGATAAAAATTGCATTTTGTAAAACTTTAATAATAGATAATCATTGAATGTCTGAACAAATTTTAATTTACAATGCATCGATTTTGCTCGTTTATAAAGAAATGTTAGAAGGCGTTGTTTTAAAGTAGAAAATTGTCGATCGTTCATTGGTAACATTGGTTTTATCTGCGATGAGTCATAATCAAAATCATTTTCGATATTGTACAATGATGAGAGGCCAAAACGATCAGTTGTCTCCAGATCAGATTCGTCATAATCACCATTATCATCTGTGGTATCCTGTTCAAAATCTTCTTGTCGAACCATTGTGGAAAAATCATCAGAATATTCTATAAAAAAATAAGAGAAAAAACATCGTGATATTGCAATAAGTTTCTAGAGTTGTGATGAGTACCTGATGGATGTTGATAATTTTGAATATTTGTAGTTCTTGTATGTGAAAAAGGTGATGTATGAATATTTGTTGATAACAATAAATTTCTTCGATCACGTTGAAAAATTGAACGAGCAAGTCCGTATGGAGATTGACCAGGAAGTGAATGTGACGTAAAGGATGATGAACGCTGTACAACAGTTGGTAGAGTGGAAGGAACATCAGTAGATGGTGAAAAATGATAAAGTCGATTCAATTCATCACGGACGAACGATGCTGGCTTTAATTGATCGTTTACAGGATTGAGAACTATGTCGGTGGAAGAAGAGGATGAAGCTGTCGACTCATTTGAATGAGTGTCAACCTGATGATTATGAACTAAATTAAAAGAAATGGCAACTTTAGATGTAATCTATCGTCTCAAAATAGAAAATCTTTCTCTTACCTGCTTGTAATCCTCCCTCACCTCCATCGATCTCATCTGTCAACTGTTGTGGTCGTCTTCTAAATATTTTTCGTTCGTTGTCATTTGATCCCCACGTATTCGAATAAAATGATGTAAAAAATTTTCCCTTCTTATATTTATTTTTATTTTTCGATGATGCTAACAAAAGTAAATGTTTTGGTAAACTGTAATTATACAGAAATTCTTCATCAGGTTGAGTAAATTTTCCAATTGTTAAAATTTCAATTAATTTTCCATTTAACTCATCAACATGATATAAATGAATTTTTTGATGTTGAATCGATAGAATCGCGAGAGTTGAATCATATAATGTCAGACCAATTCGATCATATTGAAATTCGAGTTGTTGACAAATATAACCGTTATGATAATCAATTAAATAAATTAGAAAATGTTCAAAATAGAAGCGAGATAGTGGATTTAAATCTTCATTTGTTTGAACTAAAAAAAATCAACAAAAAAACTTTCTTGATTTGCTAATGCTACACCTATGTGATTGATAGGCTATACTAACAGTACCCACGCGCATCAGATCTCGATTCAGGCAAAGTGAAAATAAAATTCTCGAAAATATGTACATTTTTGGCAGTATTTTGAATGACCAAGTGTAAAAATATTTCACTAAACTTACCTAATTGTGCATAAGGTGGATGTTGTTGCTCGTTAACCAATTTTGACGAACATATAATGGCATATTGATCACGAGAAAATAAACAATAAATATGATTTCGATTTAGAGTATAGCCAGATTGTGATGAAGACTGTTTTATTGGAATTTTACAATGTACAGAAAATATTTGATCAAACGTTGATTCACGTAAATTTTCGCATGCTAAAAAATCACGTTTTGAATTTAAACCACTATCAGTATCATCTAAACGAGTATAATTGGTCGATGAAGAACATTTTTCTAATGATTCATAAACACGTTCAAAACCTACAAATGAATTAGAAAGAATGAAAAGATGTGTGTCAATGTTTTGTTGTTTCTATCAGGCATAATAACAACTTACCCAAATAGTTATAGACAATTAATTGCTGTACATCTTGTGAAAATGTGAGAAGATATTTTCCATTTGGTGAAAAACGTCGTAAATAAATTGCTGTTGGAACAGTGGCCATTAGAATTGAGTAAGACGGGTAGATTGAGCGATAGACGCCTTGTCGGAGTAAAAATCGGGCATTATTCGATCTTGAAACAACTGGTGGTGTTCGATAACCGACTTCACGTGAACGTAACCATAAATAGCGATTATGTTTGGGAATGGTACGTTTTGGTTGTTGAGATGAAAATGGTATAGATGAGGGTAATTGATGCTGACTTTTTCGAGATGAAGGAAAAGAAGAATAATAGGTAGATGACAACGACATTTTTCACTCTAGAAAAAATATATAATGTAAGCATTGGTTTATGTAGTATAAATCATTCAACATAAAAAGAAACGTCCTTGAAAACACCAAAGTTTTCTCGTATAGAAATTGCATTTACATTAATAACATAATAAAAGTATTGCACAACAAATTGATAAACAGAACAGCTTATTTCATAATCTTGATTTATTTACTTGTCTATTACTCTCTTTTTACTGAAAAAGAATAATCTCTGGAAGACGAGCGGTATTAAACTGAAAAAAGAATGATAAAATCATTAAAATGGACAAATAAGTAAAATACTTAATCCTGTGAGGGAGCATCAAAAGGAAAAATTTTTAATTGAAACAACGAGATACAATGAGAAAATAATAAATTAATTATTCAGTAGTAGAAAATAAAAAGTAACTAAGGTAAATTATGAAATAATTTTCATCTTTTACAAGATGATGGTGCCTCAAATCTAACTATTCATTTATAACACACTAACAAATAAATTATTAACAAAATAACGCTATTTTATGTGCATATCTGTTAAAAATAAGAAAAGAACATTGATTTTTTTGTCTTCATCAAGAGTTGACTGAACGCACAAATATATTGCTCAATGAGAATAACCTGGCATTAATATGAAAAATTACGATGACATGTGAAATCTTTTATGAAAGGAACCTGAAAAGTGCAATATTATAATTTGAAAGAAAAACCATGAAAGCGAAAGTTGATGATGAAAATTTTCAGTGAAACATTTTTCCTGATCTGACGTCATAATTCAAAAAAACAACAACAGCAGTTTTAATGTGACTTTGCCCTGCATGTGTGACATTTTTGGTAACAACATCTACACTACACCGCATGATTTGTTGTCCAAGTTTTACCCACTCACTATCTCACTAGAACCAATAGAAATATATAGATTTTTAATTCACTTGAACACGAACTCTCACTTTAATATTATTTTCTATTTGTTTCTTATAATTTCACCCATTTGCTTAAAATTTCACTTCATTTCAAATGGCGCTAACGTTCTCTTCAAACTATTCTACTAAAAGAATTTTTACATACCTTCCTAATTTATAGTTTTGTTTAAGGTCAATAGTCTCTCATAATGGTACCAATAAATTAATTACATTCTCTCTCTTTTAATACAACCATGTGCTGGACGTCTCTGCACAAGTTCAAAAAATCATCTACGTTATTCACGTGTTAAACTCAATTAATATTTATATAATTGTAATAGGTATAAAGTCATTCGACTATTTTTCTTACATAAACAGATTCAACAAACAAATACAGACTATTTTTGTTTTCTATACTACTAGGCATACTATTTATTTGAAAAAACCAACGATTATACATTAGTTTTACTTTCTCTTTTGTCTTACTCGCTATTGTTTTCCATTAAATGTCGATCATCAAATCTACTATAACAACTACTATTCCATGTAAAACAAATCAAACAAATGGATCACATATAAATGAATCATTACAAAATAATATCGAGTGCGCTTCATTATTAGTTGTTGTCCGTACAGTTGTTGTTGTTTGTGCAAGTCATCATTCGGTAAACAGAACATTACTTTAAAGAATGAATAACATTGTGAATTATGATTTATTAATTCTAATCTGATTGCTTTTTTTCGTGCTTTCATGATTCAACGCTTATTTTCAAATTTGCAACAACTTATATCAGAACTGTCAACTACTTTAAATGTATAGTTTACAAATCATTCTACGGCAAATTGTCAGTATCAAAGTTTTCATTTTAAAAATAAGTGAAATACATAAGAAGTGCTCATTTTTTATTTTTGACCAACTGTTCGTTGGTTTAAATAATCATTTTTTCTCGTTTGTCTTGATTTTTACTTTTTTTTCCTGCTAATGACTTTTTTCTTTTGATTTGTTTGGTGTACCATCACACTTATGTTATGCTCATTGCTGTATCATTGCTTTATTTACATAGAATTTGAAGAATATTAAATTAGTTGATTGTTTTTTGTTTAGATTTGATTCTGATAATCATCGTTTATCAACAAAGACTTCATTAGGAAAAAATATTTCACAGGTTGGTTGCATTTAAATTTCATCTTTTCAAATTCAATGTTCTATTCTGTTCTTTCTTCTAGAACGACGGTGTTTATCGGAATGCTCGTTTAATTCATGCACTTTGCTCAGCTTTTGTGGTATGTATAACATTAGATAATGACAGTTGGTTAGATACATTTATATTCTTAGGGTCAAGCGGTTATAGTTCAAACAACAGATTCTCGTATACATGGTGTATTAGAAACAATTTCACCTAATTTAGATTTGGTTATATGTGTTAGTCATAGTTTTGATGATAATAATAATGATCTAACAATATTGATGCCTGTTGATATTTTGTCTGATACAACAAAAGTTTATATTAAAGAAAAATCAATTATTGAATGTTCAAAAATTGTTGAAATGATTGCTGTCGATGTTGATATGAGTTCTGTTACAAAATGTAAGTTTCATTTTTAAACATTGAACATTAAACAGTATCAATTATTGTTATTTTAGCCGGGATTGCTGATGAAAATTTAAAACAAGTACAGTCAGAACAACGAAGTAATAATATTGAAAATATGCGTGAATTAGAAAAATGGGACGGTGGTGACCAATCTGAAGATATTGATATGGAACTTGAAGAAACTGTAAGATTTTGAATCAGCAATTTTCTTATTATTAAATCACATATTAAATACTTTTTGTTGTTTCTTTATAAGGGAGGATGGACAGCTATGGATATGTTTACAAAAAATAAGGATGCATTTTATATAAATTCCGATTATAATCCTAGTCTACTGAACACATTATACGAGTAAGTGAAACTGTCAGTTGAAGTGTACAATAATAAGTTTTATTTTCTGTGTATATTTCCAGTAATGTACCTGTGCCGACCGTCATATCAGACGAAGTTGAAAGAAAGGCTCAAGAAATTGAAAATGACGCGAATCATATTAAAAATCGCGAGTTAGAAAATGAAGATTTTGCAGGTATGGTGTATCATATTATCGAGTTTTCATAAAATAAAATGAAAAATTAACTAAATAAAAAAATCTTCTTTTAACAACTTTGTATTACACTTTCTATATTAAAATACATTGCTGTATGACTGACTTATTTAATAATTATTCTTCGTTTCGATTATATAGGTGTTAAAAGACAAGAAGACAAATCTGCCACCGATGATGAACGAAATAAACAACGATCAGGAACTTCAAAATATGGTTCTGGTATAACAGGCACAAATACCAACAGAAATGCGTACAATAATCCAAGACAAGATCAAAGTGATGGGTCAATGACCTCACGTATTGGCGGTGGAAGTAATCGTGGTGGCCGTGATACACTAAATAATCAATCAAGACAAGACGCACGAGTAGCTCCTGGCGAGCAAAGGTGAGGATAAGCATCAAATAAAAAAAATAATAGTAGTAAGGTTCCTCTTATGCATTATTTAACAAAAATAGTTCAATATATAATAGCTTTAAAAAATTTTTATGCGATTTATCAATAGTAAGAACGCCTTTTAAACTCTTTAACTGAGCCATTAAATTAAAATTGCGACTGAATTTGTCGTAAATTGTAAATCACTCATTTCTTGAATCTTTCTAATGCTTTAATCGAAGCCCAACTGCTATGGACAAATAGGGACGCATAAATCTCAATGCAGTGAACTCCGACGTCGCTCTCGATTTAATGTCTTTGGTAGTTTCGGTAGAAAAGCATATTTAATATACATATCTTTTTTATTTTTACAGAGGATTTGGTCGAAATCCAAGAGGTGGTAATAGTAATTATTTTCCAAAAGATCAGTCAAATCCATCTCGAAATAACCGACCAAATCAACGTGGAAGTGGTGGTAATGTACCTAGTCAAGTTTTTATGAGTAAAAGTCTACAACATCAAGGAAGTCAAGATGGGCGCGGCAAATTTGGAGCTCGTCGACACAATCAGCCACGTTCATTTAATAACCCATCAGATTCTTCATCTCCAATGGGACGTATGTCACCCTCTCATTCTTATGAAGGAGATCATCCTCGTACACAACGGACTGGTAGTTTTAATCAACAACGACAACCGTCCGGTCCTCCAAGTCCCTCAACATCAACCTCTCGTTCAATAGGTGGAGCACAGGGACGAAACTCTCCAGCGCCCATAGCTTTGGTCACACAACATCCAAATCCAAATTCAGTCAGTAGTCCTCCACCGTCACAGAATCAGTCTCATACTCTTTCATCATCCTCTAACGTCACATCACAACATTACGGGCCACAACAGAAACAGTCATCAAGTACCGGATCATCTGCATTCACGCATGTTGCTGGATCATCGTCAACGAACTATTCTCAGCAACAGCAGCCACCATTTACGAAAACGCAAAAAAGTCTTCAACGTATGTTATTTAAATTACACTGTCACGCATTTCACATGGCGCAAGTGTTCAGAGTTTCTTTTTACTTTTGTCCAAAAGCAAAGGTTTAGTGGGACATTCAAATCTGTTGCTAGTGCAACGCAAAAGACATGAGTCAGTAGAAATAAACGTGGTTATGTTCGTTTTCGGCTCTTCACCGAATCTGTAGTAACCTTTGAAATGATCTTATTTTTTTTTCTACATTTTAAGGCGATCAAATTCAACAACAAACCACATCCGACCATCATTCAGGTAGTGAAGAAACCGAACCCATAATTCTCACAACTACTATGACACACACCACGCCATCCACAAATCGTCAACAACATCAGCAAATTCCATTATCACAATCTTCTGTAAACATAGGATCACCATCTACATTACATTCATCAGTCGTACAACAACATCACGCACCACCATCTGATTATATCCCAACGAATTCTATTCGTTCTTCTCATTCACCACCGATTCCGCCTCCGTTGTCATTGCCTTCACGTGAACAACAAGAAATGATGGAAAATATTCATCATAATGAATCGTCTTCAATCGTTCGAAGTTTATCCGATTCAAGTGGGAGTATTTTACAAATGCCACCAGCAACAGTATCCAGTGCTCAACAATTATCAAACATACAACAGAATAGTGGGCAAACGTAAGTTTAAGGAATCATAGAAAAATGCATTTATAGTAGAGAAAATTTCTTATATAAGAGCTTTTAACATGATAACATTCCGTAAGTGTTGATACTCCAGCTTTCTTAGAGCCTATAACCTTTTGACTTCAATATTAGTTGGTATGAGTTCTGGCAATTCTTTATATTGAGTTCATTTTCTAGGACACCTGGTAACAAATTGTCGCAGCCGAATTCAGCACTAAATCCGCTGGCGAATGAATTTGTTCCATTTGCGGTAAATGTAAGTGTATAAAATCTTTCCTGTTGTATCAATTTCATCTTTTTTGGTTGCCTAGCGTTCTATGAATGACAATTCTCGTCCAGAGTCCCGTGGTTCGTCTGTGCCTCCGCCGGTCGTTTCACAAAATATTCAACTTCTTCCACAACATATGTTACCACCAAATCAACAAATTTTTTCTCCACAGTACTATATTTCTCCACAATATCAACTTCCTGCTCCTCAACAGCAACAAAGTCCACAAACAGTACAAATGGTCAACGCAGGAGTTAATGGTGGTAATGGCATGACAGCACCAAATGGTGTAGGATATAAAACAAATCATCATTCTGGTACAAATTCGGTTCCACCAAAGAAAGGTATGTTGAAGATAAATTAAGCCGGTTTTTCCACACATAAGTAGTTTATATTCTTTTTCTAGCTATTGTTTCTGTCCAAAATGGTCCAGAACAAAATACAACGAATAATGTTGGAACAGCAACAGGTCAAACAATGATGATTCCACATATCGGTTACTGGAAACCGGATATTTTACCAGGTATGTATTAGTATATTTGATTATTCAGATTCCACAGTCTGTATCTGTCAGAATTTTCAGAATAGTAAAACCTGCTTCTGTCCTGCTTGACCATGCCTCATCGATCATTTATTTCTGTAGGTCAACAACAACCTCAACAAATGATATCCCAACCAATTTATTGTCAACCGCTAACAAGTCAAGGAAATTTGGTGTCAGCTGTTGTTCCAGCGCCCCAAATTCCTCAGGCTGTTCAAATGCAGCCACCTCAACATTCAAATACATCATCGGGCACAGTCACACCTGCTCCATCGGCCAATTACGGAAATGGAACGGCCCCTTATTTTTTTCCGTACATTTTCGCACCTCAGATTCCCAATAACTTATCATCACAGCCACAGCAGCAAACACAGCAGTATGTATTCTATAAAAATCCTCAACAACTTCAAATACAATCAGCAAATACAAATCAACAAATTCAAGCATCAACTGCGCCGCTTGCCTATCCAGCACAGTCTGCTCTAAGCTATCAACACTATATACCCCAACAACAGCAACAACAACAACAACAGCAGCAGCAACAAATACAACATCCCTCTCAAATTGCACCACAACAATGGGGACAAATAACAGGTGGTGCTTACGATCTGGCAGCATATCAACAATATTATTCACCATTTCAGGTACTTCAAACTTTCTTGAAAGTCGTTTAGAAATTTTATTAATACAGTTTAGTTATAAAATATAAGATTGAAAGCAGAAAGGCAGTAGTACTGTTAGAGTGCACCTATAGTGTTTACCAAGGGAAACCAGACAAGTATACTAATTTGAAATTAAGAATAAAGTTTCTCGGCGAAACTATTTCGAAGAAAGCTAAGTGAATTCAACTTTTAGCAACAACAACAATATCAACAACAGCAATCTCAACAGCAACCAACTCTTACACAACAGCAAGCAGTGTATAACACTAGGTAAAGAGGAAAAGAGGTTAGTGTATTAGTTTCTATTTGTTATTTCTTATAGCATCAATGTCGCCTATGCACAACAACAATGTCGTCCAGCTGCATCGTAGAGAAGGAAAAAACTTCTTTTTCAACTGGAACAGCAAAGACAACAAGAATACAAATATCTGTGTTCTTTTTTTTGTTATTGTTTCACTTTTCATTATCATTTCATCATCTTATTTTGTTTAGAATAATAAACCGCCAGCATTCGGTTTTTTCTTTTTTCTAACTCACTTTTCTGCACTATATGAGCACAAAAAAACTTCCGCTCTCTTTTCTCTTCTCTCCCACTCTCATAAACATTTTCAGGTAGAAATTTGAACTTCTGCTGACTCTCTCATTTGTCTGTTATACTCTTTATTCAATAGAGAGTGTGTATATTAGGGGTCTCTTTTCGTTTTATAAGTAAACGATTCTTCTTGTTTTATCTTTTTTAAATTGTATCACATGTCGTTTGTTCTCGTTGTTGTTGTTTTTTTTCTTTGTTCATTTAGTAGAGAATTTAACATTAACAATATCATCATCATGGGGTTATCATTATAATTATTATGTCGTCTCTATGTTCATTTGTTTATTTCAGAATTTTGTTTTTATTAAAACAAAGTAAAAATGCAAGCGATGATGATGTTTTTTCTTTTTCTTAGACTTTTTTTGTTTTTATTTGTTTGTCAACAAAATTTTGCTGTAGAAGGAAAAAATGGGAGAGAAGAGAGAAATACAAATAAATTATATAAGTCAGTATATCAATGAAAATATATGAAATATCAACAATTCATTATTATTTATATGAATATTTTTAATTAATAAGTTAAAAGATTTGTTACATCAAACATACAACAAACCAGTTCTGTTCTCGGAACAAAACTCGGTTTATTTCTTTAAAAGAAGAAACTTCAATCGATTTTTGAAATTTAGTGTTGTTGTATATACAGGTATATGATACATTCGTCCTTCAGCTTGTATGTTAAAGTAAGTATTTCATGATACTGGCAGCAAAAAAAGGCTGTGTATCAGACGATTGTTACTGTTGATCCTCAATGTAGTAAGTTAATGTTTTCTAACAATAAAACAAGATTTAGTTATGTTTAATAAACGAAAATCTTGAAAAGTATACATCTAAGTAATGAGAGATCAGTAAAATGTAAAGATGATGTAACGAGATCTTTACTATAAACTTTTTGCGAGTTTTAAGAACTATTATATATTTCTGAAAATCAGATGAGTGAACAAAACGCTTATAACTCCGAAACGAAAAGATCCAGAGACCTGCGGTTTTCACCATTGGGAAAAGCAGCTCGTGGGACGTTTATCCATGTAGAAAGTAAATTTTTTCGAAGAGCTTTTTCCGGTAGACCTCCGGTAAAACCCAAAGTGCCTCAAAATTAGTCGACAAAAAAATATTTTTTTCCAGTGGGCCATAGATTATTGACTAAAAATTTTAACTGTGTCTGGTCAGTCGTTACGATTTTATAACAATACAGCGAATGGTATTGTTAGGTTTTCCCGGTAGACGTCGTCCGGTAAAATCCGAAGTGCCTCAAAATTAGTCGACAAAAATTTTTTTTTCAAGTGGGCCATAGATTATTGACTACCCTGATTTCGAATATCATCATGCCAGCTGTCCTTAGGTTTAGAGCGATTTTCGGAAAATCAGTTTTTCGAAAACTCTAACTCTAACTAGCTCGCAAATTTCTGATTAAAATGAGACATCTCCCAGCTCTACACGATCTTTCTTTGCAAAGTTATAGAATATACAAGAGAAGGCCTAAATTAGTTTTTTCCTCGGTTAGTTAGATCTCGGTAAAATCAGGTTCATAATGTATCGCCACCATCGAAATTTTGTGCACTGTAATCCAAACCTTTATAATCGAAACTGGGCTCTAACACGTCCAGGTGTTTTCCGATTGTTTTTCTTCAAGGTGTACCGTCGAGTTTTTATGAGGACATCACTTGGAGAACTAGATTTCGGTTTTCAGATTTCAAGGGACGCAGCCTCAAAGAAAAAGCTCCTAGAAAACCCAATGTAGATCACTCCAAAATTTTAGTGCGTTACGATTTTGCTATTTGATTACTCAAATTTGAGCGAGAGTTGTAAATTGTTATAAATTAAAAATCCTCTCTTCATCATCTGCTGTGGTAATAACTTGAAGTAACCCAATATTTTTTTGACCACAACGCAAGACAACCAATCGCAGCCGATTTTTACAAAAAAAATTGGTTGTTTTTAGTGAGACCCATGATAGACTTTCAACAAGATGATTCAAGTCAGAGGTCTCTCAACTCATTATGGTTCGAATTTTATGACAATATTAAGAAGAGGAAACCAGCATCGTTACCCGATGCTGATGTGCTGTAAAAAGCGTTAATACACAGTCGTTTATTTAATTTGTTTTGATTTATCTTTGTACACAGTTTATGAAACTGTTTCATACTTAATTGCTTTTGTTGTTCTCTACGCATTTTTTCAGACTAAAGAAACAAAACAAATACATGAATGAAGGAAAAAAAGATGCTATTTAATTGATTTGATTTAAAAACCTAAATTTTAAAAAGGTATAAAAAGAATTGTTTTATCACATTAACATATACAATAGTATTACACAGTTTCTACAAAACTAAATAATGATGTCTTCCTCGTCCTCACGCAAATCATTAACATTTGAAACCAAATGGCATTCAACAGCGACAACATCCTATGTTCTTCATCAACGTCCATCTTATCCACTATCTGATATATCAACAAATTGTACAATGATGAAAATATCTTCAACAACAAAAATGATATCTACCAATAAATTTCAAACATCAAATGGTAGTTGTACTGAAAGTGATGAATGTGAAACAGGTGATTTATTGAGTAGTGATTATCCTACACAAATGAAACTGAGTGATGATAGTGATATGTCAGATATTGCTTTATTTTTGAATCATCCAAAACAAGTAACAATTGGTGCTGATCAATCAGAAAATTCTCTAAAGTACGTATCAAATAATTCTTTCTTCAGTTTTATTTGTCATAGGACATCATGTTTAAATAGCATTTGTCTAAAACTATTTATTAGTATCATATTTTTATTATATTTGTTTGTTCTAGACGTCCACTTTCTCGCTTGTCATCTACGTCCCTCGTTAAACAATATTCTTCGTCATCTCAATCTAAACTTTCTCTAAACGATGATGCAAAATCGTTACTTAAAAAGAAAATTATGGTACAGAAACAACGAAGTACACAACGTTTACAATTGTATGAAGATTTAAAAGTAATTAATCATAAACGAATTCAAGTTATTGATGAATTAATTCATTTGGATGAACAACATGAAGAAAAAGTGAAACAATTAGCAAAAGTTTTGTAAATATTTTTTGTACATATCTAAGCAGTTGTTGCCTTGTTAAATTTTAGTTATTAAGCATTTTGTAAAGAACAGTGAGTTGATTGCATTTAAAAACAAAAAAAACGTATATAAAATTATTAGAAGAAAAATGGATTAAGCTTTAAATTCTAGAGTTAATACCAGTTCGAAGAAACTGACAAGACTATTGCACAAAGCTACTGAAATGTTTGGATTTTATGCATGTAGTTTTAGCTCAGTTTAGAACATCATTTCTAAACGCTTTCAAATTAATTCTTTACTTAGAAATCGGATGCGGTCTTTCTTTCTTTGACTGGTCATTCAAAATTGCATTTGATTTGAAATGAATGTCATCGTAAACGTTTTTGATATGATTATTCTACATTTACTCTTTTAATCATTTCAAGTGCAAACAAGATTATTCTTTTTTCTTTCGTTTATAACGTTCAATTTATTTCTGATTTTGGAATATTGTATTTCACATACATAAGGTTATTCGTTTAGTAATAGATGCACACAACATGATCTGGGTACTTTTAGACTTGTTGAGATTGATATATATATAGAAGAAAAAATGATATACAACCCTTAGAAAATGAAGAAGGAATAAATTTTCAAAGAGAAAAGGAACTATTCTTTTTATTTAAAACTGAAAGACAAATCTTTTGTAAAAGAAAATTTACTGTAATAAAACAGTTAACAGTTTTATATGTGCGTGTGCGTGTGATGGATATAAACTTTATATACTCGATTTTTTTGCTGCTCTCCTTCAAAAAATGAGACAGTTGATAAAAGAAAAGATGTTTGTACATTAACCGCACGTTAGATCACAACCAATTGTTTTGTTTGTTTAACAATTACGATGGATATGATTAATAAAATTTACAACTTTTTTTCTTGTTCAATGAAGCTCTTTTCCTGCGCTCTGCAAAAAGAGAGTATTAGTCCTCATTGCTTACGTATGAGTTATTTGATATATGTTTGTGTAGAATTTTTATAATCAGAATTAATTTTCGTTTCTTCAGAAAGACATTCAGATAAATTTTTGAACCGAATAATAGAGAAAAAAAAATTTCTAGCATATGTCGAAGATAAGTTTTATGAGAAGAATAACAATAGAACAGCAAGTTATATGTTATTGTTTCTCATATTAGTGAAAAAAAGAATTAAATTTAGTTTTAAAGCAAACACATCCAGAGTTATCAGATAAAAAAATACTTATTGTCAAATAAAGCTTAAGGTAAGAAGATAACGTGGCATGAAGTGGCATTTATATTGACGCTTTTTATTACTTTATTGCTGAATTTGTAAAGACTAAGTTTCCGCGATTTTATTGCAAACATGAAGAATACCAATTCAGATCAGTGAATCCATCAATTGGAGCCTATAAGATGCTACTTTTGCAAATCGATAGAACGGGATATGATCCTGTAAAATCTTATAGGAAATACGTAGACAATTCTGATAATGGAAATGATACATGTTACCTGGCTCGGTAACAAAAAGTCGTTCACTATGCAAAACTAAAGAATGAATTATGATATTATGACATATCTCTCAGCTGTGACAGACTTATTATCAAAACGATAAAAGATTTCTTTGAAAGTGTATTTTTCTGTTTTTTGCAAAATTTGACCGGAAGTTCATGGTTACTGTTTTCATCTATAAATAGAATCATGTTTTCCCGAAGAAGGATAATCCGTTATCACATGTAAACCCTAAAAAGTCCCGAATTAACATGCGCACATACTGAAAGTCCGGATAAGTCGCTAACAGACAAGCGTATTAAGACATTGACAAGGTCCTACTAGTAGATAAAAATTCTTCAGCACACTTTCATGTCGTATGTGTTTCAAAAATGTTCAGATACGTAAAATGAAGTACATTCATTGTATGTGATATGATAGAATTCTTCTTCTATTCCATAAAACAAATAATTGACTGAAAGAGAAATCAGATACATATTCACACGAAATTATCCATTTGGTTTCTCGTTTGTCTGTTTATAGACTTAAGTACAATTATGGTACACCCATTATCGGTGATAAGCGTGTGACAAAATGATCAGTCACGGATTAACCTTGTAGTCGTTCCATTCTTCTTCTATATTTTAGGTATTGATGATGTATCAACAAACAGATTATTTATAAGCAGATAATCGTATCCAATCAAAATGGAAACCGCACGTGTTTATGTAACAATAAGTTTAATCTTGATAACAATTGCCTTGATATTTCATCTTGTTGCAATGGGTTACCCGAGATGGAAGTAAATATAGACTTCATTTTCTATTTGTATCATTAATTCTATAGATTAAATTTTATTCAGATTAATTGAAAATCGTAGAAGTGATAATTTAACCGTTCATATTGGCTTATTCGATCGATGTGAAGATTTATCCTTCAATAATAATAATTTATATAAAAAAACTTATTCTCAATGTGATTCAAATAAATATCTGCCATCAAACAGTAATTATACGACAGCATTGTGTCGAAACGTGTCAGATGAAAATTGTCAAAAATTATGTAATAAACCAAATAATAATTATTCATGTGATTATTTACGATTTACAAAAGGTCTAATCGCATGCACAATCGTAGCTGCGTGTATGATTGGTAAGTAGAATAGACATGCATCAATACCGGATTCGATCAATAAACGATATTTTGTTTTTAAATTATTCAGATATGTTCTAAATCACAATTTATTGTGCAAAACTGATTTTCTATGTAGCTCGCTGAGAAAAACTATCAAACACTGCCGATGTTGATTCGCTACAGACTCGTTAAGAACAATCCTATCATGATGGATATTTTGATGAAAGTTATAGAATTTTCATTTTCCTATTTGCATCCATCATGAAAGGTGGTGCACTACCCATTGAAAATTCTTTTTAAAATTCAGCGAGATCATGCTGAATTTCTTCATTAAGAGGAAAAATTCGGCATGATCTCTCTTAATTTTTCCTTGCAGTGAAAAACTCTGTGTGATCGCTAGTTTTTTTTCGTTGTGGTGAAAAATCTTGTATGATCTCGCGCAATTTGTGTTTGAGTGATGTCATCGAGTACCTTTCCCACAGGATCCTTCCTATTTTTTTTCACACCAGATGTTTTCTCGTGAGTTGCTTTTAGAGTTTCTCTTCGTCTCCTTTATGCGATTATGTGTACAGCGTCCAGTTCAATTCAACTAAATTCAATAGACGAACAGTTAACGTACATCATCTGATTGATAAAACCAAATCTTTTCAATTAATTACTCGGTTTTTATATAAACGTAACTATGACTGAGATTTCCATAAATGCTGTTTGAATTGTAATAATTGTTTGAATCAAGCTGGTCAGCATCAGTATAAATATTTTGTAGTTGATTCCCTTGTAAAACAATATTGCTGTTGTGACTTTAAATATTTCGAATTATTCCATAAGTTAATTTCTTGCTGTGGACGAAAACAATCGCTGAATCTGTTGATGATGATACTGTTGCAAATGTTGTTCCATATTAATCCTATTTTTTCAATAACATATAATTATTTGGATATAATAAATCAAATAATTTTTTATCATCATAATTTATTTTAACTATTTTTTTTGAAATTTATGATTTTAGTACCGTTTGACATCATTACAAATAATTAATCAAGCCAAATAGTTTTGATTGTTGACAATAATCATTGGCAAAGGATTGATGACTGCTTAATCACATCGAAGTTGTCAAGCAACTCGACTTGTTGTAAATGTAAACAACAACGATGTATTTTATCGTAGATATTTTTTCTAAAACATGTAGAATAGGCAAAACAATCTGACTAACATAACTTTTCTATAGGAAAGAAGTGTTTCTTTGCGAATGTGTACGAAAACATTTTCATGTTTCGAGTCTAGTTCGGATCACAGTTGTAAAATTTTCGGATCCGTTCGGGTCGTTTCGGGTTCGGGTCAACTCACGTTCGGGTCGAGTCGGGTTCGGATCACGTTTGATTGATCCGTTTCGGTCTCTGATACATACCAAAAATACTTTCAAAATAAAAGCACCATAATTAAATGTTGAACAGAAATGGCGAATAGAACCGGTTAAATGTAACATCGAATGAACATTTTGAGAAATGTGTCTTTCTGCATATATGTCTTCAAATTGATGTATAATTGTTTTTATCAATAATAATTAATTGAACTAAAATAAAAAACTAAACTAAATAATAATTATTTTTACACTAATTTTACAATTTTTAGCAATTATAATTGACATTGTTAGTAACTGTGCATGTTCATAATAACCTGATGAAAGAAACTTTTTTAATACTGGATCATATTTTAATATTGATTGTGGTCAACGTATAGTAGATGTAGAGTAACAAAAAATAAATCAGAGTGATAGTAATTTCATCATAAAACTTCATTTCAATATATATATGTAGCTATATTGCACTAGTTTAACACAAGCGTAATAGTTCAGTTAGGTAAGTCTTCGTCTTGAAATCTGAATGTAACATGAAAAAAAAGACCAAAGCTTGGCAATCTGATACACTCTCACATTACAACAAGATTAGAAAAGGGCGAGAAATTACTTTTTATTTTATAGTCGAAATTTGAAGAAATCTCGTGCGAAAAGAACTGATCTCGAAAGAAAAATCCTACCAGAAATTCGCTAAACTCGCGCCGATTTTTTCAGTGTGAAATCACGCACATTATAAAGAGTAAACATTCGCGAGATTTCGCCGAGTTCAAAAATTTCTTTTTCATTAGGCATCTTATTTGACAGTGTTTAAAAGTGCAGATTTCTACCCCTTCAAACAGGGTGTGGAATGAATGATAAGATAGTCTTGCATTTCGTTCATTCTCAGCGAGCTTCATAGAAAATCAATTTTGTACAATACACTGCAATTTAGAACATATCTGAATAATTTGAAAACAAACTACCATTTATTGACCGATATTTCGGCATCGGTGCATATCTAGAGTAGATTAAATTAACATCACTGTTAAAATGTAATTGTGACAAATGGTAAAAAAGTAAATTCTTCTATGATTATCATAAGGAGTCAGTGTAATATGGTCATTTCAATCCAGTCTGAAACCCATATTTTGTTTTAGGTTTAGCATTGATCACGACATATTCAAATCTATTAATAAATGCATTTAAATACAAAACTCATCTATTTTTATCATTTATCGCTTTTCTATTATTATTGTTTGCTTTTGCGGCAATTTTAACAGCATTAATATTAGTTGGCTCTTTTATGCAGCGAGATTTATTCGAATACAGATATAGTTTAAGTAACCAACTGAAACGGGGTATGGAACTTTTCTTGTTCGCGTTGTTTGTATTCTTTAAGAAAGTATATCTTTTCTCTCCTGTCATATCATCATCTCGTCTGAAGGAGTACTATGGTACTCCGAAACGACGCAAAATAATAATAAATTATTATTGAATAAAGAAATTAAAATTTATTCCGAACAATTAGATCTGTTTTGTTTCTTTGAATTTTTAAGATAATTTGAATGCAACACAACTAGCTGATCGTGAACAAGCGATTCGTGATATGGCGACGCGTAATTATAATGTACGATTAGATTGGTCAGCCGGTTTAGAAATTGCCTCATTAATAATGACAAGTTTCAGTTTAATAACACAATTATTATATTTATTCAGAACTTGGAGAAGTCAAGCCGGGTGAACTATTTCGTATTATTTAAAAATTAGTGATTCCATCATATCAATAAAAAAAAATTGTGTACTATTCATCTTTAAAAACAAGTCTCATATCGTTTCTTTCAATATTAAATTTTTTTTTCTTTGGGCCTATACATATTACTCAGAAAAGCTGTTTTGTTTTGAAACTTTCAATTCATACACGTTTTAAACTTCTCACAACATTAGATGATTATATATTAAGAATAGCCGTATCCGTTAATGAGAAAAGTTCATAAAGTCTGATAATTCTATTTTCAGAGTACACAACATCTTCTCACAACTGATATTCCATATTGTTGATATCATGTTCGGTAGCACAAAATATTCTAAGTAAGATTGAAAACTTTTCTACTTCCCAACTATTCCGATATTGTTAAACCTTAATAAAAAATAAATACACAATTCCTGAGAGATATTTACTTGTTTTGAAAGCCAAAATTAATCGAACTAGTTGTTAGGTCTTGGAGACCTAAATTTCATCTTTTATCGTCTAGGAAAATGCAGTTTACTTAGCCTATTATTGTCAAACTAAAAACCGATCAAAAAATGTGAAACTTCTTGTTTGATTGAAGAAAATTTTATCTATTTTTTTGTATAGAACATAGTCTAATAATACAATTAATGAAGTTGCAACTCAAAACTTGGAGGATTTTTCGTACCTCTTTTTATTTGTATTTAGAATACATCGTGGAACTTGTACTTTAGCAGTACATGTCGGAAAATGGTCTTTCACCTTTTATTGTCATGAGAGGCTGTTAAGTGATGTATTTATTCATGATTACAATACTTTGCAAAAATAATTCATCACTTTTCAAAACACTTTTTATTTAAATTAGAGAAAGTTTACAATATGTTTTTACAACATTTGACATCAGCATCTCATACTCTTTTTATGCTCCTATTTTACAACTCTCGTCTATGCTTTTGTTTTGTGTTAACCCACATTGACTAAAATAAGAGCACGTAGTTTTTGGTCGTACCAAATTATAGACTTTTGATGTTAATTGTTTCATTCTTTTATCTCTATCATGAGACATTGAACGATAAATAGCTTTCATTTTCCTGAAGAAACAGAGTAGAACTTTCATCAGGTGAAACGTTTCTGAAATACGTCTGTCATCAAAATAAGTCGCAGAATTGAATATGACAATTAAACAACAACATCGTTCATTTTATCGTTTTTACCAACTGATATAGTCGATTAGAAACAAAATTTGGAGCACAATATCATCCATAGTTAACGCCATAATCAAAAGCATCGTCAAGTGAATTCAGAAACATGTTCAGTCGATCTGTCATTAAAACCTGTACACATAGTAAAAAAACTTTATTGGTACTGAATATCCTTGCGAAAATAAACTGAAAAAAAACTAAAATTCGGGAAGAACAAATTTTTCTGCACATTCTCCATTAACTTAAACATTTTTAATCATTTCATGGCGTAATAGTAGAACAAAAATGGTAACTTTAATGACGATATTCAGAGTCAGTATAAAAAAACTGCATTTAGTCCTTGCACTTTAAAGATATTAGAGGATAAAAAATGTTTTTACAAGTCTATGTAAAGATTGGCTACTCTGATAGAGTACAATCAAAATTCAATATCGTCGCTATAATTTTAGTTAGACAAACATCGACTGTTTTCAGTAAACACTTTTTTCTCAAACTCACTTCGACAAAAACTGATATCATATTCGGATAGAGCATGCTCGAATATTTATAGTCGCACACTTGTTACGTTCTCCGTCGTTGTAAAGTGGTCGAATTTTTGAAATTTTTAGACAACTTTGATTTTTTAGCAAAAATCTCAGTTGAAAAATTCGAAAAAAATTAAGGTTGTCTAAAGATTAAGTTTTACTCACGAACTAAATCGAAATACGGGATGTTGGAAGGTGCTCGCTTCCTGAACCAAATGAATCAAATTGCACAAGTGTTCCTGTTATCAATTCTTTATTTTCGAAGAAATATTGCTCAATTTGTCATTCTGAATTCTCTGAAAAGCGTTGTGCCACCATTACAGACGATGTGAGAACTATAGTATTTTGTTTTTATGGAATTGTAGCCGAAGAGATGGATAACAGTTCTGCTACAGCTGAAGAACCATGAACATGTCGGAGCTGATAAAGAACAAATTCTAAGAACAACTGATGAAAGACTACAAACCTCTCGGCTTGATTTCAGCAATTCGTTAAGACATAAAGATACTGACTATTGCATCTTGTTAGGAATAAGCAAAGGGAATTTTCATCGTGATAATTTCATCGTTCTCTCCCCCGGTTCGGAACAGCTTTGTTTATTTCGATGTCGGACTGCTATATCAGTTATCACCTCTTCTACTCATCCTCTCTATCTCCACTTAGAGTAATCTGGGATAATTATAGTCAGGATAAAAACTTTTCTCAGGATCCTTGAAGTTTTGCAGCTATTTTTCACAGGTGGTTTGAACTAAGTCTTACCTATTAAGTAGTACTAATCAACTTCCGGCGAGCAGGTATCAACTGATCATAATTACCCCAAATGGGATAATTATGATCAGTCAACGTATACCGTTGGGATAATTATGATCAGCACAGCCAAAATGGCTGGAATGAACTTAAACAACTTCGTTTCAACGGAGAATTTTAAGTAAACAAAGTAAAAACGAGTTCATTTTGAAGAGAATTCTTTGCTTGATTTCTCATGTAAATTGCACATCACTGACTTGACCTGAATTACTTAATGAGAAATTACGTAAATAAAAAGAGATAGACATTTTTTCTATATAGATACTCTGGAGTAACTATGATTAATCCGTGAAAATTACACGGAATAAACAGAATTTGACATGCGCCAGCCTCCAGAAGCCGGCTTTTAATCTAGTTCAAGTGAAAAATGTTTTCAGAATATTATAATTAATTACATATGTAAAAGGCGGAAGCAAAACGCATGTTTTTAGCGAGTTTTGTGCATAGAATGAACATCATTGATTATAAATGCATTTCTGTTCATTAAGATTAGTAGAATAATTAAATTAGAGCCTTAATTAGCAGTCAGATCACGAACAAGTTGAACTTTTCATGTACATTATCAAATTCTCGTTCTAATAGATCAAAAAGTTTTCTTAAAAATACACAAAGTCAATCGTCCCACTTGGAAACAAGCACTAATATCCATTGGTTATTGCGTCCTGTTGGTTATTTGTTCTCACTTATGTTTATTTCTGAAATTGAACATAAGTGAGGACGGATTTTGCTTATTTTGAAACAAACTAACACTTCTTTCTCACCCAAATAAAATGTGTTCTAAAACTTCCTTTCTTTTGCTGTGGAAGGCAAGGCTATTTTTCAGTTTTTTATTACTGGATATTAGTAAAATTGCCGTTTTCGTCGGAAAACTATATTTAAAGCGAACTCACTAGATATACGACAAAAGAGTACACTTAGGATCAGTGGAATGTACATTTAGATTTAAGTTTTATAAATTATATACTTTACATATGGCAAGAGATTAACGGATGATCGAAGTTGAAGCTTCACAGTATTTTTTTCCTATAAAGTTTTATTGTTAAGATAAACAAAAATGCTCAATATGTCCTTCGTAGAATTTTCTGGCAGTTCTTTTGATAAAGCAATTAATTCATAAGGATTTAATGATCATGAGAAAAATGAAACTACTCAGAGGGCCATTTATTCTGTCATATTTGTTACATGGACACACAAAACAGAATGGGAACCGAAACGAGCGTCAATTTTATTGATGAAATTACTAATTGTATACGCAGCCTATATGTTTAGTTACTCAGTCTGTCTTTTTACTAAACTTTGAATTCTATTTATTTATTAGAACACAAGAAGAAATAATTTTTCTCGCTATGTTTCCAGTCGTGTATTCGACTAGTACAAATACTGAATTCGTTTAATTGAAAGTATAAAACTTTTCTGTTAAATTTTGTTCATTTTTTTTCGTTCTCTATCTTTTGCATTTGTATTGTATAAAGCAATATGCCTTTGGGTATCACTGCGAGCATTTACTTTTAACTTTGTATGGTTGTATTTGTTCGTAATTACAACATTAGTTCGAGACATCTTCAGGACGATGGAGCCGAAAGGCAGAAGAAAAAAAAGAGAAGAAATATAATAATTGACATTCTTGCCTTTAGGCAATGAATGTTTCTTTCTTTTCATGTTTTTATTTCATACATGTGGATCACACATTATGGAAGATTTACACCTTTAGGTTGTGTACATCAACAGAATTTTATAGTACGAGATGAAAATGGAATGGCGATATGGACTGATAACAACCAATGAAAATTTGTCAAAACTTAAATTTATTCGTATAGAGATAATTTCAAAAACCTATAAATGCTCTGCTCTCATACACTCTTCGTAGAAAGAAATTTGAACTTATCTAAAATTTATTTGTTATAAAGAAATAAAATAAGATAAATTAATCATATACAGGTAGACTAAATGTAGAAGATGTTTTCCATCTTGATAATAAATATTCACTAAATGGTAAACAATCGAGATTATTTGCACTTGTTGCTGCTATGATAGAAAAATTTTGTTCAAATAAACGTTGAAATATTTCAAGAGCGGTTAATTCAACAAAAGCATTTAATGGAAATCGTACAAAATAATTTTTTTCTAAATATGTATGAGTTGCTGGTGATATTAATGATATGGATGATGATAATTGTATTTCAGGAAAAAGATCATTAATTAAATTCATTTGACCACTTATTTTGACATTTTCAACATTTTCCGGACTTATATTGATAGATATGACTTCAACAGAATTTGTAGATGTTGTTGATAACTGTTTGGTAGATTTTTGATGTTGAAATTTTTGATGATGAATAAATGTTGATAGATGATCTATTTTCGGTTTTTTCTAAAAGTAAAAAGTAAGTTTTATATTTTATGTATTATTTAAATAGTAACTTTCAATCATCCCTTACTTTATTTAGTTCTTCTTCGATGAGCGTAACCAATTCTTTTAATTCAAAATATTTTGCTTCTTCATAAAGTGCTTGTAATTCGTTAAATTGTTCAGGAATTGTTAATGTTCCACAACGCATATAATTTAAAATATAACGAAATAATTTACCATCTCTATCGATGAAATAATGTTGTTTCAAACTGTCAAGAACAATTGGAATATGACCATTAAACAATTTTGATAAACGACTCTCAGGATAACGAGTAAGAGTTTTTAAAGAAGATGTATAAATACTTCCACCAACATCAATATGAACGGGTGCCGTATAACGACTTGGTGTAGCAGGTCGCGGTATACACATAGTCGATGTTGATGGAGTAATAAATTCATTTGTTCGTGAATCATTTGATAATTTATTTAATAAAATTTTTGGATATGAACGATTATCGCTTAAAACGAAAAACAAGATAGAAATATTCAAAGTGATTAAAAACACTTGTTAATTGTATACCTGTTCATTTCATGTTCAGAATGATTTTTAAACGATAATTCATCACCAATATCTTTAGGTGTTTCATTTTGAGAATGGTTTTTTGTTGCAAATTGTCGTTTTTTAATCGAGCCTGTCATTATGGCGGAGTCAACATTTTCATAACGTCTTTTGTTGCTATTATGATTATTGCTGTTATTGTTTCGATATAATAAATCATTAAATATATCGGAAGAAGATAAATGTTGGTGAATAAAAGGTGAATGTGATGGTATAGGCGATTCATAACTGCGTAGTTCGATGGGTTCACGTTTTGGAATCAAAAGTTTATCGTGTGTTACTGAAGATGTTGAAGTTGTATGATAATCACCACTACCATTCATTGTTCTCTTCTTTTATCTAAAATGAAGGAAATGTTATTACATTAGGGTAATAGATAAAATAAAATAGTTAAACAGAATATGTTAATTAAAGTGGTAATTTTACCATTTCATTAAATCGATTAGAATATAAAAGCATTATCTCAAAATATGATCTTCTATGTTGACAAAATATTTCAGAAAGATACGTAACAAAAGTATAACTCTAAAAATCTGATTTTTCGAACGATTTGATACTCCATTACTCCGATCAATTCCTTCTCTATTAACTGTATACCACACTTTTGACGAAATTTTATCTCTCAGGCCAAAGTTTTTTTAAAAAGTCTGTGTGTTGAAGTTTTCAGTATAAAACAATATTATCACGCTGCAAAATAGTCAATTTTCTCTCTTCTATTTTTGGAAAATTCAAACTATTTTTAAACGATGTGATTTCATTTAAATCTTACAAAATAAAGTGCGACTAGATTGATATTCACTGAAAAAACAAGAAAATTTTAAACTTTTTATTTAATAATCATAGACCACAATTATTAGATTTTTCTGTGTTTCAACAAACGAAGAAATAAAGGAGATAAATTATTTTTCAGCCTATAAAGTTAACTGTTTTATAGTGTCATAGTGCATGATGTATACATTTATAATGAAATACTTCTATTTTCTACAAAACTTTCTGATGTATCTTTTAAAAAGAATTAGGCCCGAGGGTTCAAATTTTACCGATATGTAGGCAAAATACTGAGAAGAACATTCATTCTGAATCATATTTTTAATCTTCTCCATTAATTCACAAAATATTATTAATAAAATATAAACAATAACGAACAAGGAGACGTACTTGAATATATATTTATAAGAGAAAAACGATAGAGAAATCATAGTGATGAGCTGCATAGAATCGCTAAATTTCCCAAATCAAAAGTGTATGCCTTTCAAATAATTAGATACTATCAGAAGCAAAAACACCTAAATTCGTCCCATCTGTTGATATATTATATTTTTATTCTGCCAACCTTTATAACATTACAGCTTCAATTAATTTCTCTTTTCAAGTTCTTCTGTGCTTTCAGTTCATGTAATATTCATGATTAGTTCGCACATGCTCACAAAATACATACAATGATGTAAAAAATTGATAATTTTCTTTTGAACATACTCAAATACACAGTATAGGTGTAGACTTATTTTCAGATCTTTATTTAACTTCTTAGCTTTCACTTAGCGTGATATAGCTAAAAGTTTAATGTTTAGTGCTACTGTATGTCTGTCTTTAAAATAGCTGAACGAAACACAGTGGAACGTGAATATATTTACTTACCTCTCACGTATCGCTTCGTTTCAATATACTTTGAAAAACCACTCGTGCAGTTGAGAATTAAACTTTTTCCTTTATTTTTTTCTGAAGAACTATGAAGCCGTTTTTGCTCTTTTCAGCTTTTACTGGGGCAATTTTTTAAATGGAAGCCTCAAACAAACATGCTTTTATTCAGAAATGGTTAAAGGGGAAACCGAAAAAAAGGGTTTGATTGAAAAATAGAAAAAACGCGTCTTTATAAAAAAAATTGACAAAAACACTTTTATGTGAGACTCGATTCATTGAAAAATATTGCAACGAGTTGTAGAGACTATGGAGTGAGTAAAAGAGAGAGAAAACGAATATTATATAGATATATGTACGCACGTATAATACATATAGCCTGAAGGTAATCATTAGAACGAGAACAAATTCATACACACACACTGAGAAATTTTGTGGTTACTGTATGTGTGTAATTATGTGCCCTTAAGGGTTTAAAAGCCGCTCAACTATCTCTCTTCAACGATTTTTTTTCCACCTTTTTCTTGTGTATATGTGTGAGTGTGTGAGTGTGTGTATTGTCATTATTACTAATTCTTATTTGTTTGTATTTTAGGTGATAATTAGTTAGTTATAGCATCATCGTTCCTCAAAATAAAGTTCAGTTAAATAAGAAGAGAGGATAGAAAGAGAATATATATTATTTTTAAATAAAAACTCTTTTTTCGCACAGAGATCAGTTTATAGAATTAAGATGCATGGAATGGCTTTGGATATATATGGAAGATTAAACAGAGAGACAGACAGAAAAATATACACATTTATAATAGCCTAAGAAACTGGAAATAAGTTAAGTAGTACATCTCTCTTATATTATGCCCATTAAACGGGCATTCAAACATCTAATCATCTAAAAAAAAATTGCAAAACCAAAAATCTGTTAACCTAATTCGTGAAATGAAAAACCTTGAATTGCCTTACTATAATATCAAACAAAATACGCTCCAATTCATCTCAGAGATGAGTGATCATGAATGTCTTTTGAATGAAAAGTTACAAGAAATGGGGGAGTGTCTTATTTCGAAGTAAGAAGGGCTATTTATTGTTTTCACTCAGTTTTTGAATTTCTTCTAATACAAATATTACTACGAGAGTCACTGTGGCTAATAATTTATGCTCCATCAGTTTTTGAGATTGCCAATACGTAATAGTAACGAATAACAGGTGTCTCAGTCAAATATTCACCATTCGAGAACCATGAGATAACTGTTACAATTGAAAATTCATCATAGTACCAGTATATGGTGACCTCACTTTTTATAACATGGATGGATAGCTCTAAGTTTTTACTTCATCATGAGATATTCCTCAACTCTGTGCGATTCAAAAATTATCCAAAAAGCAATCATGACCATCAAACGTTGAGCGAATAGTAGCCATTCTTCTAGACGATAAGATCTCTAACAAATAGTCAAATTCAGTCTATTTATAAAATTTAAAAATCATCTTGATGTTTCTTCACCTTATTTTTTTTAAAGATAAATCAAAGTTTCATCTAATTCTAAACATTTTACATAATTTTATTTGTTTTATTATATCTCACTTCCACTTTTACCACCATCGTTAGACGATTATCAAACTATGTTAACACGAGATTCTACTATCTGCAATACTCTGCCATAAATATGTTGAATGTGATGTCTGTTATCGAACTGCAAACCAAACTATCAACAATCGTTCATATTTGATGTAAATCTATAAATAATGAAACTATAATAATGAACATGACAAATTTGTGTTTATAAGAATTGTAAATTGATTTAAAATATTTTTTTCTTGAGTTCAATAATTTACATAACTTGAAATCATTTCGTGAACTTGAATTTCTTCTCTATCCAACATGATTAGATTCGCACAATATGAGATAAAACAGAATTCATAAGTTAAGAAGGATTAATACAAACAAAAATTTCCTTAATTTTCATTTTCGATCACAAGGTTACATTAAATAACACCTGTTCTTTTTATTGTGAATAACATTTGAGATATATTTTTACCATATTTATGTCCATCAGGAGATGGTTTCTATAAAAAAAAGCGAAAAGAATGGGGAATGTGCTATGTAAGAAAAATGACTGTATGTAAATTTCAGCAATGACCTAATGAGAAATAATCTTTTCAAAAATATCTATATAAAGCGATTCTTGAACTATTGTGCAGATATCATCACTTTTATCTATTGTAACAGTTTAAACGAACTGATATCAAGGAACACATTGAATGAAATAGTGATCTGGTAATTTCCCACCACTTCTGTTACAATTCATATTGAGACATTTTCTTACAAAGATCATTCCCCATGCTTTCAAAATTAAATAAAATGTCTAAAACTTGTGAATAATCTTATAATACTCTAGTGACTCGCTTTCTAAAACGAACTATTCACTTATTTCACGAAAAAATTCTGAGATTTTTGTTTTGTTGTTTGTATATCGATATATATCGATGTGACATTATGATCTCATTACTCAATATATATCTATATAAAAAGAAAGAAAGATAAATCAGATCTTTCATCTACAATTGAATGAATCAGCTACCACCTCAATTGGATAGCTCGAAATCACTCCAAAACAAATGTTTTTTAAGGGATTGGAAATATCCAGTTAGAATAGTAAATGAGTCATTGGATTATAGATTGAAAATTTAACTTATTCCCTTTCTTGTCACATGTTTGTTGCATACTAAAGACATGGTATTGTACCAAAGGCTTGTAATGATATTTAAAAAAACAAATGAATCATTTTTTAGATTCAACAGCATATATTAATTCGCAAAAGATGCTATTTCATTCTAAAAACCGGGAAATAACAAAATATTTCTAGTATATTTCCAAATTTTTGAGTACGGGTCATAAATGACTCAGGCTGGTAGTACTAGGGTTAACTTGCACAAAGATGTTTTTCTAATCACAGATCTAGACTGGATATCAAAAATCGGGCTCTTGCTAGCCACGTGTGTTGGCTTCATTTAAAGCTTCATTTAAAACCCGAGCTCTCAACGACGCTTCATGACGGAGAAATCGTGCAGCTACGAAGTCTTATGAACGCGAAGTGGCGCTAGTGCACGGTGCATATTTTAGAGCTTCTATTTAAAATTCTTATAACTTTTGGGTGGAACGTTGTCAGGAGTTGGAAGACGTCTCATTTTGATCAGAAATATTCGCTCTACAATCTCGTTGCTTTAGAACTACTTTTTCTCTCGATTCTATATTGATAACACACAGTTAGTAGAAAAGTCAGTTTTGCAGGACCTACAGAAAACTACCTGAAAATATTTGAAATATAAACTTATACGACGGATTCATATATGACACCGAAGAGAGATGGTACATTTTAAGACATTTTGTTGATAGGGCACAAGAAAAGACAGATAAGTTATAAAAGTTGAAGATGCTGTTTCAACAGACTCTTATAGATTCTGCAAAAGATCAAGCTGTATAAACTTCACTCTTCTTTTCTGCTCCTTCTACTATCTTTCGAGTAGTTCAAGCTTTTCAAAGGAGTTTTTATATATTTCTTCTTTTCAATTATACATATTACTTTTTGTTCTATAAAGGCGTCAGTTTATATTTATCTGTTCATTATGATTTGACTCACTACTTGTCGCTGTTAAGGCGCACCAAACTCGAAATTTAAGTATCCAATTGTGACAGAATCTTTTTTATTCATATCTTATTCTAGTCTTTGTCTCTCTCACCAGATCAATCAGGGCAAGCACAAGAGCTAACGAGAATGATACAAATCTTTTTTTCTTTAACAATAGTTTACTAACAGTAATGGTGATACAACTTGAAATTGCACAAAGTCTCTTTTCTAACATAACTGTTCATCAGATGATCAGACAGAAAAATATCTAACAATCAATCAAGCGAGTTTAGCACTATTATCTGTACCATTGTCAAATATTCTTCAATTTTTTAACAAATAAAACTGTTTTTCTTTAAGTATTGATTATATCTCTAATTTTATCTCTTAATTGACTAGATATTCACGACGTGTAAGTAATAGTACTTTAACCAGAACAAAACAAAAAAATAATTTTTCTTGTCCAGAAAAAACTGGTATACCGTGTCTTTTCATTGAATTTTATTACTACAAAAGTCGAGTTTTGAAAGAAAAATAACATGAGAATAAAGAATGGATGATTGTTTTTTCATCCATTCCCTAGGCATCAATGAGGAGAAAGGAGCAACGTTCTCTTCCCCCCGTAGTTTGTCCCCAGGATTTTCGCCTAGTTGTCTCAAACAGATTTGTTTGGTAAAATTTTCCCAGTCTATATTTTCCTATAGAATTTTCTAATTTTCTTGTCTCTCCCCCGCAAAAAAACTCATCAGCACTAATTTTCTTGTTTTTCTTCTTTATTTTGAAAGAATAATAAAGTGTAGAAGAAAGAAATATCACCATCTACGTGTAAAACTTAGAATTTCAAAGACATTTGGGAACCAAACAGAATGGAAAAGAATTCTTTTACATACACGCCTCAGCAAAAGGCACGTTACTAGCGTTGTCAGATAGCATATACTTTATTTTTTTGAAAAAAGTTCAAGATTCAATAGACATTTTTGTTCATTGAAATTTAATTTTTTTTCATATTCATATGACGTAAATCACGTACATCAGTTCATGCTCTTTTTTTATATAAAAAGCAAAAGGAATGATGCTTTTGTTATTTTATGAAACCAATTGAGAATAAGACTTAAAATGAATTTTCGAATAACGACAGCACAACCCCTAAATGCATCAACCATAAATCAACAACAACAAGAGAAAAACTCGGTAGCCAGATTTCGATCAAAAATAAAAGAAACAATTGGTTTAAACAAAATAACGTCACAACCAGATGATACGTATACAAAACCAGAGCGATACGACGACTTACAACCTGAAAGTCAGGTAAGTAGTAATATTTGGGTTCATCTAACGAGGGAATGCTTCCGGGCGACAAATCGCTTTTCCTATGAAAAAAGGCAGGTAACAGAGCTTCGTATGGACTCAAAATTCTGAGTCCAGTCCGAGTCCATGAACCCAAAAAATTGTCTTTTGTTGTTTTTTTGTTTTTACTGATTTTTCCTCGATTCAGATGAATCCAAAATTTTCTGAGTTCAGACCAGTCTATGGTCTCGAAACTTTGAGTCCAGTCCGAGTCCATGAACCCAAAAAATTGTCAGTCCAGTCCATACAGAGCTCTGGTAGGTAATCGATGCTGCTGATTCCAAACATCATAGTGAACGCTGTCCTCAGGACTTCGGAAAACTGGTTTTTCAGCAGGAAATGTTTTTTGTTAAAATGACTTTCGAAACTGTTTGAGTTATAGAGTATATTGAGTTAAATATGCAGATAAGTTTTTAGACCTATCTGACATTTCTTCTTTCTATTTGTAGGAAATGATTTTACGTGCATTTGAAGTATTTCATCAACAAAATATTGAAAGTGCTATGACAGCCATTGATGAAAGTCGAAATTTATTAAGAGAAACAATGGAAGAATTTACCCAAGAACAAGAAGACTATCGACGACAATTAGAAGATATAGGAAAAAACAGACATATTAACAAACGACGAAGAGGTAGATAAGAGATTGAAATAATGTTGAATTCGATATAATTTAACAATGAAAATATTCTAGAGAATGCAATACCGCTGGCGATTTACATGAAACAAAAGCGAGATGTATTGGATACTGGGCGACCTAATTCAGGACTGGATTCAACGTATCAAGGTACATGGAGAAAGAAATATACATTTAAAACTATTATAAAAAAAAATTTTCTAGCCTATTTCGAAGCATTATTAGCCGATGAGTCAACTCATCAACATCCATCAGATAAAGCGGCTGTTGTCAAATATATTCGTCGACGTGAACGACGTAAACGAGCAGAAGAAAATCGAAAACAAAATGAATTAACGGATGCGATACTGGAAAAGGTAAACGCAATAGTAAAAGATTTAAGTATAACGAAATATTTAGTTGTATTATATTTAGCAAACGCAAAAAATAATTAACAATATGGAAGGTATGGATGTTAAATTAGAGAATGAACGTCAACGTCAAAATGAATTACTGAAACAAAGAATGGAAGAGAAAAAAGCAAAACATGATATAACGACAAAAGCAAATGATATTATGGAAATGGCACATGAAGGAGAACTAGCGTAAGTGTCTCATCATTAACTCGTCGTTAATCTTACGCTAATCTTACGTTAATCTTAGTGAAAAAATGATAAAAAAAACCAATTAACTTTTACTTGTCTATTTTTAGTCGTCAACGTCTCGAACAGAGCCAACGTGAGAAAATTGATGCTCGTTTGTCGGCTGCACGTTTACAACGTATGCCAACAAATTTAATTCATGTTCATGGACAAGATGAAGATACTGTTGACAATGATTTAGCAATAGCAACCAAAAATTCCATTCAATTACTAAGTGATAGCAACAGTAATGAACGACAATTTCGAACACATACATCAGTCTACGGTGACGGAGACACCGAAGAAAAAACAATCGCTAATATTCACATATAGAAATCGAGATAATGTAGAAAGTAAACTCATTTTACATAATATATAATTCGTATTGCTTTACATACAAATGGCAAATATTTGAGTATTTTACACATTTGTTACATATGCTGCTCTCTGTACACACATTTTGAATTTTTCTTATTCATGTTACTTGCATAGTCCTAGTTAGCAAAATATTGGACAAAAACATCAACTCTTACGTCATAAAATAAAATGTCTGGTACTGGATTTGTTTTCTCCATAAATAAATAATATTGTTGAACCGATGTTTTAAAATTTTTTTATTGGGAATTTCATGGACTTTCGTTTGAGGCATGATTTTTGTGACTCTTGAAGTGTGTAGAAATAGTTGTGTACAAAATGATCGATATCCAATGAAAATTACTTATCAATGATGTTTCATTTGTCTCATATGGGTAAAATACAACATTGCTAGTTGATATAAGCTTTATTTTGTCAGAATACAAGCGGAAAAATATCCCCTTATAGTATTCTAAACTAAAACTATCGAAAAAGACAAAATCAATTTTTGTACGAATACAGATTCGAACACATGAACTTAGCTTTGGAAACATTGTTAGTTTAGAAATACTTAAATCTAGATGAACTGTTTTAACCCAATTTTAGATAGTTATAAGCTGATCTTTTTCCCACAGTAATTTCTTATACATCATATAAAAAATGATAATTAACCTTTTATTTGAGATAAAAGCTTTTGTAATAAACATAGAAACATAAAGTTTATGCCCAATGAACACATATTTATATTTTATAAATAAAATTTTTCACATATATCATTTAAAGTTCATCTAAAATAGTTTGTTATTATAGCTTTGATTTATATGAACTGTATGTTCGATAATCAATTCTTTGTTTTTACATACATATATAAAGATCACTGAAAGCCTTTAGGAAAGAAAATGACAAGATCCCTCTTTATCAGAAAAAAGAAAGCATAGTCAATTATAATATACATAAACGTAAAAGAGAAACAAAACGAATAGAAAAAGAGCGAAACAAGAACAGATTATTTTTTACAAAAAAAGAAAGCAAAACAGCCAAATTTATCCAGATAAATCCTCAGCTTCATATGCTGCTTGGTCATATACTTCAGCTTTTATCATTCGACCACCAAACCATCGTCCATTCAATGATTCAGCAGCTTTTTCAGCATCTAAAACATAGAAACAAAAATAGAATTGATTAAATAAAATGATTTAAATCAAATTCACTTACGTTTACTATATTGAAATTCTACAAATATTTTAACAATTTGTTCTGCATCATCTTCTTCGCCCTGTTGTTCAGTGTAAATAACAACACGACTCACTTCGCCATATTTACTGCATTCTTCTACAACAAAAAATCAGAAGTACTATGAAATAGATAAGAGAAAAATTGTATAATCTGTGTATAAATCGTCTAATTCTGTTCGCTTCTAATGCTCACATTTTAAGCAGACTATAAAAGAATTTCTCAAAATTTTTAAGAACTTTTTTAATTCTAGATGGTTCGCTGTCTAGTTTCTTTGTTAGTTAGTTCCTGCAATATTTTTAGATAAAGTGATGAGCGAAACAAATCATATCAAATCTTTTTATACTTGCAAACAGTTTTTCTCGTATATTGTAGCGCTAAATCTATTTCGAGTGTTGTAATTAGTCGTACAATGATAAAAAAATTTTCTTTATATTACTGAAAACAAAGTCCATGAAATTCTTTTGATTACGCAAACAGTGAATGATATTTTAGATCTATCTCGGATTTTTAATTACAATTTCATCCTTCATTCTCTTATAAAACCATTTTTAAACTAGATCATTTTTGAAAAAGTCAAAAGTTTGTAAAAAATCGCGTTTTCTTCCTTTCACACACCGTTATTTCAGACTTGAACTTTAAACATAAACGACATTTCAAATAGTGAGTGTACAACAGCACGTAAAATAATTATTTTGAAAAATACTTTAATCTAATAAAAATTAAAATTCTAAACTATGAGCGACAAACTTTCAAAAAGTCAATTTTTTAACCTTAGACATGATCAAAATTCAATCTCTAATATACTGATGAGAAGAGAATAAAAGACTACATAAAACTGCTTGAATATTCCATTTCTTGTGAGTTTTCACCTGTTTTGAGAGAGTCTGATGTATGTCTCTCATTTGATCTTAATCACGGAAAATGAAAATAATAATATACCATTTTACTCAGAACTTTTTCACGTTCTTCAAGATTCAAATATAAAATTATTTTTATAAATTCAGCGGATTTGATTCCCTTAAGAACCTGTAGTTAGTTACATGAAGTTTTCAAAACGTTTTTGACAAACTTGACAAAACTTCACCATCTAAATTCAATAGTTTAGCACTAATTTTAAAAGTTCACTTTTAAATCATAGGTTAAAGTATTTTTTTACATAGTAGTAAATAGTTTTTTTATATAGTTCAATATAATTAATAGGTTTAAGAATAAGGATAACATCCATTATAAGAATCAGCAACATCCAAATCGCTTACTATGGAGTACCTGAATTCCTTCGATAGGTACTCAACAATTACCTGTGATTTCTTGTTGTAAATCATCATCAACATCTTCTGGAGATACCATATTTCTCAACACACACACACGTGATTCTAATCTACGCTGATTCAATTTTTGCATAAGTAAATGACGTTGTTCACGACCTAAAATAGATATAGACAATAAAACTTCCAGGGGGAGGGGGGGGGTGGCATATAAGTGCGTTCCCAATTTAGCGCGCCTCATTTTAGTGCGTCTCATTTGAGGGCGTTCTCATCTGAGTGCGTTCTCATTTTAGTGTGTCTTATTTGGTGCGTTTTCAACTATACAACTCATTCCTCAAAATATTTTGAAACATTTGAATTGTTTCCGTCACCACTGTTTGAGATTAATTCTCAGTGGTTAGTAACCTTTTATTGATCTAACGGCCATGGAATGCCGTTGCTAAGGATTCCGTCGAATTTTTGGGGCAGTTTTATTTTCCCAAAGAATTCCAATCAATAATTATCCATTCAAAATAAAATTGAGCTTGTAATCATCTAAATGCACTTGGACTACACTTAGACTACATTAGTGATGTAAACTTCTGCATTTATTCAAATCACCAATGTGGTCTAAGTGTCACTCTCAAACAGTGGTGACGGAAACAATTTAAATGTTTCAAAATATTTTGAGGAATGAGTTGTATAGTTGAAAACGCATCAAATAAGACGCACTAAACTAAGACAACTAAAAATGAGAACGTACTCAGATGAGAACGCCTCAAATGAGACGCACTAAAATGAGGCGCGCTAAAATGAGAACGCACTCAAATGAGAACGCCTCAAATGAGAACGCACTCAAATGAAGCTCCACCAACTTTCAGCCATCAGAACAGCCCTCAGAAAGTATCTTTTGCAATATTGCCAACTAAAATTCTTCGTTAATCATTAATTTTTCTTTTTGAGGACATAGCATATATTTTCTCTTAATTACCTTTCAATGTTAAATCTTCTTGTTGAGATAATGTGGCTGTTGGATCATCAGCATTACTTATTCCTAATAGAATTTTTTGCGCATCGGTCAATTCTAATTTTCTTTCAGCAGTTACCGATTCAGAAGGTGTCAATGAGAATGACGCCACATGCATCGGTTGTTGTTCTTGTTTAACCGGTTCGGATTTTACCACTGGAGACGAGGGTTGTGGAATCGGGGGAGGAGGTGGTGGTGGTGGTGGTGGCAATGAAATCGGCGCTGAAAGAAAGAAAAACATTGTTTAGGTGTGGAGTTGAGAAGATAGTTCGTGGTAATGGTAAACATAGACTTGACTAAGATTGGCATATGTTTTTGATGATCTGTTCTAAAACATACGTTGTGGTTGTGTAGTCTTTTGTGTGGCTGGTTGCTGGTGTGGAACAGGAGAAACGAAACTAAAAAGAAAGCAACAGAGCTAGATAAAGTAAGAATTAAAGTTATTTTTAACATACTTCTGGTATTGAACGGGTACTGGTTCATTTTGCTGTTGCTTAGGTTGAGTTAAACTTTGCTGATTGACTATTGCATTCGACATTACTGTGGGAGGTGTTTGACCTCCAGTCATGGACATAAAATTACCAACAGAAAATGTTGGATTGAGCATGGATGATATAACTGAAAAAAAAATACGTGAAATAAAGTATTCTTTTAATTAACTAATTAACATTCTTCCTTCTAATTTCAAAAAAATAGTTTATATGACAATAAATGAGCACTTACTAGATGTAGCAGCGGAACTTCCTTGGAGAGATGCCGCTGATAAGGCAGCTGCAACTGTCGTTGGAGCGATTGTTCCTAAGAAACCAGCTGCCGCTTGTGCCAGTGGATTATTAACAACTTGTGACATTACTGTTGCTGCATTCATTGCCGTCTAAAAACAAATAGACGATTCCACAAAAGTAATCAGAATAAGCGATATTTGAGACGTACGACAGTAGGTACTGGATTTGTTTCAACATCTTTTGCTTGCATTTGTGCTGTTATGGTAGCCGCTGCTAATGCCGTGGCTGTTGGCATTTGACTTGTCACGGGTTGTGCCGACGCAAATAATCCCTCAGGAGGTGTTATGGCTTTTCCAACACGTAAATATTGACCTAAGAAAACAGATACAATTTACATTATATATAATGTTGAAGTCAACTGTGATTCCTACCTCCTAAATCGAACAAATTCATTGAATTAATAGCGTCTTGTGCTGCTTGAACAGAATCATATTCAATAAAACCATATCCCCTAGAGAAAGAGAAAAACATAAATCAGAACAGGGCTTCTTTTTCAGTTTCATTCATCTTCTTTTGTTCTTACTTGTGTTTTCCGGTTTGTGCATCTTTTGCTAATGCAGCTGTTTTAATTTTTCCTACAAAATAAAAAAACAGCTTAAATTAGTTGCAAATGCCCTAGCATGATTTATTCGTATAATAATCTACCAAAAGCTTCAAAAACACTTTGTATATCTTGTTCAGTTAATTCTGCATGTATTGATGCAACGTAGATTCGATTATAATTTTTTGCTTCTTCTGTTAATTGATCGATAATTGGTTGAGCTTGTGGCATGTTTGATGGTCGACCAACCTAAACAAAATATTGATTGAAATAAGAGAAAAAGTTATCAAATTAAAACTGTTTACTTTAATGTTTCTTCCACCGAGTATAACACCATTCATTTGTTCAATAGCCAGTTGTGCTGCTTCAGGTAACTCGTATTCAAGAAATGCAAAACCTTTATGCCGATTTGTCACAGGATCGAATGTTAGACTAACACTTTTAACAGGACCAAATGGTTGAAATGCTTGTTTTAACATTTGTTCGTTTAATTCAAAATTAATACTACCAATATAAACTCTACAAATGAATGAATGGATTTTTCAAACATCGGCGGTGTCTAGCTGTTAGACGATTTCAGATCAGAACAAGAGCGACGATAAACTGAGTCCACTAGACCTTGAGCGAGATCTATTTTGACTTATATAGAAAAAATGTCTATCTTTACCTGCACATTAGCAAAAGTGCTTGCTGCTTTTTGATCAAATCTAATTGTTGTCGTTGTTGTTGCTGCTGTTGTTTCATGAGTACATATTTAACGCTTTGCTCCATGGCAAATTTTTTTGCTCCTTTAATATTTTCACCATCAACTGAACGTATTTTATATTTACCTGTATCTCTCTTATGCCCTGGACCTGAGTATAATGGTCCACGTTGTTCCAATTCGTAAGCAGGCGAATGCGGACGAAAAGGTGTTAATTCATGTGGCAAACGTGGTACATCATGAATTGAATATTTTTTGACAATAGATGTTGCTTCTGGTTGTTGAGCAAGTAGCTGCTTCCGACCATCATCAACAGATAAGTCTGAAATAGACAAAAAAGATAATAAATCGTTGCCTCAAAATGACTTTTATAGACATGATAACTATAAAATGAAGACATATTTTTGTTTAACTTTATGGCCAATCTTGGAAAACGATTTTCTCAACTTATGTTTTTCATACGAAACATAGTTGATTGTATATCATGAACAGTTGCTTAAAAAAGGATAACAATAAAAAGAAATCAAACGGACACACGACAAAAAGAGAAAAACAGAATAATTCCACTGATGTTTGTCCGGAACGGAAAGCAGAATTTTCATAACTAAAAGACAAGTAAATGAGAATAAACAAATGATTTTCAAATTGGTAATATACGGTAGTAGGAGCAATTTTAAAACTTCGACTTCGTTTTTCTTAAACCTATTTCAAGAAATTTTTCCCAAGATAAAATTAATGAAATTGTAATGTAGTTTTTCGATCGAAAATTTTCCATCTGGTACCTTAAAGTAAACTATACTTTTCTTTTGAAAAGGTAGAAGGTTTAATTATTTTTTAATGCTCCTTGGAATAGCATCACTGAATTTCTGATTCATTACTTATAGTCTTGTGAACATAATTAAAAAGAATACTTCAGTACTAGACATATAAAATGTTTTAGTTCAATGAAGACAGCGACAGATACGATTAGTAAGAGCTTATAAATGACTCTTTTTAACTTTATTCATTTGTCGAACGCATTGTGGCGTCTTTCATAAAGCCAGGTTTTATTTTCAACACTAAAGTTCCCCTTAAATGAAGAAACAAAAAAGAAGAACGTTAAAATGTCAGATACTTTTGGGAACAAAGAGAGAGGTAGATGTGTGTCGGACTCTTGTGCTGCAGCACTTTTATACCTAAAATAAGACAAATAAAATTGAAAAATATAATAGACAAATGTTTTTCTCTCTCTTTGTCCCATTTACGATTTATATTTATATTTAAAAGTATCAAATTTTGAATGGTAGGTGCGTGTGACGTTTATACGTAGTGTTTTTTCTCATTTATTCCGATTCTCTGCAACACAAAGAAAAAAGAAAAAAAGAAAAACATTTTTAATTATTATATATAAATTGATTAATTGTCATTAACAAAGTTTTACTTCAATAACAGTTTTTCTTATATAGATATGCTTCGTGGTTCACTAACTTTTTCAGCGAATCTTTCAGGTCGTTTCACAGTTAGCATCGAGTCTTTTCTAAGGTTTAAATAACAATTGCAATCTCAAATATCCTGCAGTTATCTCTCAATTTCCATATCTATGTGACACTATTTACTGCGTCCTGTAAAAAATTGAATGAACTAAATATTCTATTTACCTGTAAACATACTATTATCACTCATTACAGATTCCACTTGTGTATCCATTTTTTACACTTTAATCGTCTTCTACTTAATTAACCTAAAACAGAACAGGAAAAAATCACATCCTAATCATTACATGAAACGGTGTGATCTTTGTTACCTTATTAAGTTGTGACGTTTGAATTTGTGTGCTTATCTAGGAGAGAAGAAATGAATACAATATTATCTAAAATGGAATATTAAAACGATATTAAATATTCCAGACAGAATTATTCTTGAGATAGTTCTCTAGAGCCAACTCTGTTGCGTATGAAACACGTCTAAAATGAGTTTCCGACAAAATGAGATTTTTCATAGTTGATACAACAATACTCAATAATGAGAAATAAAAAAATATTATGTACGATAATACAATAACCGGGGTATATAATCACTCCGTACAAAATAACTATAGAAAACTAAATTGATCGACAAAAAAAATAAACATTTACATCAATATACAAAATAGAAAAACTTCTGAGTTAGAGTAATAAAATAGCAAATGTCAAAGAGAATTTGTTTATGGAACAATAAGATACGGCTGGCATGGAACAAATTTTTCTTTATTATGACATTCTTGAAGCCATTGCAATTTTACAAAGCATATGTCAGGATTTTCGGATGAAGCCTAGAAAAAAAAAAAATATATATTTATATATATATACTGTAAACATGCCTGTAAACCATTTGATTATAGAACTAGCAAAAACCGCTTATTAGCGTTGCCCTGGCGTGCAGAAATATGAAAACTTTCTTCTTGGATATACGCGTAGTCTAATGAATGTAGTGAAGAGCCGCTATTTAAAGAAAAAATCTCATGGGAATATTGTCATTTAAACGTATAACAAACGGCTGACCTGTTGAACAACGAAAGTAAGATTGGTTATTAAGTGCCGTAAACACAGAGAAATTTTGTTACAAAAATAAAAAAGACCCCTTCAGATATACAATTTTGTAATTTCTGTCCATTTCATCCTTTTTCCTTCTAATGAAGAAAATTCCTAAACGTTTTTAAGGTGCACGCAAAGCAAAATTCGAGCAAAAATTTTTTTTTCGATGTTTCAGACACCATTCGATAGAGAATTTTACGGCGATCAAGAATATGTGTTCCCTGAAAATTTTCGATGCTTCTTTCTATCGTAAAAATCAAAAAAACTTGAAGGGTGT